TACCTTGAATTGGATGCTTTTTCGAGTTGCACACAGTTTTATCTTAGGAATCTTGTTTTGTTTCTTCCAAAAATACGCCTATCACATTAGTATCGTATAGAAAGAGGCACCAGTCGTGAGCTCTCAATAAAAGAGCGCGCGGATCTTACACTTAGAGTAAAATTAAATGGTTCACTCATGTATAAACTTTTTTATTATTAAATTAACTTCGTTCAATTTGGACTTTAAAAATGTATTAGTAATTTTATAATAGTTTTATCCCGAGATTTTGTTTGTATTAGAGTCAGAAATAACCCTATTTTTAACCGACTTCCGAAATATTATCAATTTATCCCGGATTTTTTTTTGTGATAGAACAGAATGATTTGATGTTGTCGAGTTTTTACGGGTAATTTACCTGTCCCGTGTGGTGACGGATATGGAAGAAATACACGAATTTATATTATTAAGCTTTAGATTTTAGATGATTCTCATTGATATCTCTAGTGCCAGGGAAGCCATTTGAATACTATTTCTAATTGATAAGCTTATAAGAGAATCTTAAACAGAATCCTTTGGGACAACAATAATGTCTACGGTAGCGCGGTCTCCGTCAATGTTCCTTCGGAGTTGTCCGATTGCGCTGAACTTATTTTAAGTGAAATAGATGTTTTTTCTAATTGTCTCACTACTTACTGGAAAAATCTGTCGCGGATCATCTCCCAATTAAATTAATCTTAAGCAATGAATGAAATGTATTCAAATGTTAGCTGTATATTTTATTTTTATTTTTGATGTTAATGCACTGTCGATTACACCTATAATTGAGGTGACATCTGCCATGAACTTTTGTCAATTTGTCAATGTTTTGTATTGATGATCACTTTGTTGGTGCAATTTATTAAATAAATAAATAAATAAATCTTACAGCTACTTTAGACAAGAACTATAAGCCTTATAAACAATTCCCTATGTTATCTTTTTGTTACTTTTTAGAATTGAGACATTGGCCTAATATCTCAGAGCGGGTAGCCACATACACGCTGTAAGAACCAGGGACACCGGTTACCAACAATTGGACAGCTAAACTAGCTCATTCAGCAGTCTAAAATACAAAAGGCAAGGTTTGCCATTCTACATACGGTCTATTTCTACTGTGAATTAAAAATAGCGAGCCATTTGTATACAGTAACGCTTATTCAAACGTAAACAAAACATCAAAACATGTTTGTTGTGACAAACACCGACGCTTATGCCCTTAGAGATAATCTTTGATGATGTAACGTTTCAATGGTTCTCTTTTGTATTATTTTTATTCTTTTTTTTTTTTTTATTGCCTAGATGTGTGGACGAGCTCACAGCCCACCTGGTGTTAAGTGGTTACTGGAACCCATCTACAACATAAATGCGCCACACACCTTGAGATATAAGTTCTAAGGTCTCAGTATAGTTACAACGGCTGCCCCACCCTTCAAACCGAAACGCATTACTGCTTCACGACAGAAATAGGCGGGGCGGTGGTACCTACCCGTGCGGACTCACAAGAGGTCCTACCACCAGTAAAAAACACGTATTAACATTACGTACGGCTCACTCTAACCGGCGCCATTAAAGCGGGCTTCGGATAGCCTGCCGACCGAGAGGGCTGGTGGTCGTGGCGCCGACGACCGCTGGTCCGGCGTCCCGAGGAGGAGGGCGATGGAAGAGATGTGCTCCGCACTAAACGCTTCACTTTCCCCCCTTTGCCTTTTCATGAGTTCTGTCTCATGCGAGGTTTGGACGTTGGTTGTTGAACGACAGGAGGTTTTAGTCAGTTCAACTCTGACATGCCCCGCCCTCCATCCCCAATGGAGGGCGGATGTCCGGCGATTTCCTACTGACCAAAAAAAAAAAACATTACGTACGAGATTGTAGTTCGCTGGTGGTAGGTGCGTCTTGTGAGTCCGCACGGGAAGGTATCACCACTCTGTCTATTTCGGCCGTGGAGCAGTTATGCGTTTGGACTTAAGAATAAAAGAAAATGAACGATCTTCCGTACAGCCCTAACGCTACTGTATTAGGGGCGAAATGACAACAAAATCTTAATATTGGACGCCTGTAATAATGTGAGGATTGTAATAATGTTGACTGACTCGGTGGTGCAACAGTTAACGGCACTAATTATTGCGCCGAGGGTCGTGGGTTCGATTCCCACATCGGTCAAATATTGTATATGATGATGTTTGTTAGCTCTTTGTCTCGGTGTTGTCTATATATGTATACATATATTTAAATGTATACAAGAATGTACTTCAGTCCCTGGTACACATTACACGACGTCCTTATGGAGCCATGAGACTCTTGCATTAGACGCCTTCAGGTCTAACTCGGTCGTGGTGGTGGTTGGTTGGTTGGATTACTGGTGGTAAGACTTCTTGTGAGTCTTCTTGGTACCACCGCCTTACCTATTTCTACCGTGAAGCAGTAATGCGTTTCGGTTTGAAGGATGGGGCAGCCGTTGTAACTATACTGAGATCTTAGAACTTATATCTCAAGGTGGGTGGCGCATTTACGTCGTAGATGTCTATGGGCTCCAGTAACCACTTAACACCAGGTAAGCTGTGAGCTCGTCCACCCATCTAAGCAATAACAAAAAAACTAGGTCGGTCGGTCAAACTCGCTCTAACTCAACCTAACCTAAATATCAGCCCGCTGAGAATCTCGCCGGATCTTCTCAGCGGGTCGCGATTCCGGTCCGGTAGTAGATTCATTCGCGAAGCATCTACTCCTGAGTTTTTAGGTTTCTTTTGGCGACGCTCGGGTAGCTGTTAGCAAATCCCACCCCTCCTGACCGAGTCCTTACTCGCCCACCTGTCCTGAAAAAACCCATAACACATAAAATCCTAATTTAGGGCCGTATGACCTTGCGTGTTTTGTTCTCACCGGTTGTAATATAAAAGATATTAACTGCCAAAGTTTTAAGTTTCTAATCTCAGTCGCTTTGGACTAGTATGCTTAGTGTGAGTTTTTTAACATTCTCGATAGCGTAAAAGTAACTCAAATTTGTGTATGCAGTTGAAACAGCGCCCCTAGCGGCAAAGGTAGGCGAACGTTCCAACTCCATACAAATTTGATTTAACTTTTACGCTATAGAGAACGTTAAAAAACTCGCACTAAGCACACGGGACCAGCCAGGACAATTATCTATTTATGCATTAATCAATAATAAATAATAATAATAATAATAATAAATATTTACTAACAATCACGCCACGTTAACTGGTCCCGTGATAAGTTCGTAAAGAACTTGTGTTACAAGTACCAGATAACGGAAATAAATGTAAGATTTTTATTATACACATACATATATTTAATATACATCCATAACCCTGGAAAAGACATTTATATTTATCATACAAATATCTTCCCTTGGCGGGATTCGAACCCGCGACCCCCGTATGTAGTGACCATGTCACTTACCACTACACCAGACGGCCGTTAAAATCAATATTCTCCCTTTACCGTGGAAGTCGTTCCCGACACGAGTGCTTGTTTAATCTATACTAATACTAGCTGACCCGGCAAACATTGTTTTGCCATATATAAGATTTCTAGGGAACTTCTAGTGTACAAAAAAAACCTAACTTATTGTAAGTGTGTAAGGATGTGGTAAATGAGTGAAAGAGGTATGTAGTGCTGTGAACGATGAGGGAATATATAATAAAAATAACAAAACCTCATTCAACCACATAATACCTCATTATAACAAAAAAAAGTCCAAATAAAAAAAAAATGTTAGGGGTGGCCAACCCTAATCACTTAGGGGGATGAAAAATAGATAGTAGCCGATTCTCAGGCTTACTGAATATGCATAAAAAATTTCATGAGAATCGGTCAAGCGGTTTCGGAGGAGTATGGGAACGAACATTGTGACACGAGAATTTTATATATTACTAGCGACCCGCCCTCGCTTCGCTTCGGAAACATTAAAACACACATGAAACAAAAAAAACAAAAAAATAATTAAAAAAAGTAGCCTATGTTCATCAGGGACAATGTCGGCTTCTAATGGAAAAAGAATTTTTCAAATCGGTCCAGTAGTTTCGGAGCCTATTCGAAACCATAGATTATACACTTAATATACTTGAGTTCGAAACAAACAAACAAACAAATCTTTCCTCTTTATAATATTAGTATAGATATAGATATATTAGATTATAAAGAGGAAAGATTTGTTTGTTTGTTTGTATTGAATAGGCTCCTAAAATACTGAACCGATTTGAAAAATTCTTTCACTGTTTGGAAGCTACACTATTCCCGAGTGACATAAGCTAAAAATCTTTTATGAAAAAAAATTAGGGAACCTTACTAAAACTCCAATAATTTAACCCAAGGTGTAAAAAAAAATTACCTAAAATATTCTTTACATCGCGTGCCCTGCGAAAGCTATTGATAATAGAATAAAATAATGGACATACTACGACTTTGTAGAACACATTATTAATTACAAAAAGTGTCGCGACAGCATATGTCTAACTATTATAGTTATGCCGCAATAAGTGTTCTTATATTAAAAAAAATTAAACAACGTCAAATATCGTTGAAATTTTTGTTATAAATAAATAAAACCATATTAATTACGAAAAGCTGGGGAGCTTTTCAATAGTTGTTTAATGCAAATACACCCAAATAATATAATAAGAATAAATATTCAGTGCACTTAAACTTGCAACTGATGACATAATAACATTTTATTACAAAATCCATTCTTATCTAAGCCGGTAATGACCTTGCCATTTTAATCAACGAAAATATGCAGTTCTGATACGGAATGAGTTAACTTTTATTAATTGCACTATGCCAGCTATATACACGAGCTCACAACTCACCTGGTGCTAAGTGGTTACCTTCACCAATATGAGGCCGAATTTTCAATTGTATTATATACAATATATACATATACTATGTTTTTTTTTTAAATGCACCATTTTTTAAATGTATTCGCAGTGGAAAGTACGAGTATACAGAGTAAAATAAAAAAATAAAATCAATTGATATTTTATTTTAAAGTTACACTAATAATACAAAGCAATTATGTTTTCTAGTTTTAATACCAGTAACTTTTGGCGGGAACCCTATCCTCTTTTATACCCATTTCTTCCATAATGTCCATTTCAAAGGTCCTGAGTTTTGGCGCAAAAGTTATCTGAAAAAAACATATTAAAATAATTTATTATAGCGACATCTAGCGATTCAAATTTAGAAACAAGTTTGTTTCGCAAAGAAGCGTACGACCAAAAAGAATACGCAAATCGATCACTAGATGGCGTTGATGTCGAACTGTTTATTAAAAACAATACCAGCTAATCCTTTGTTTTATTCTAGGACCAATTATAAACAAACAAAACACATACAATGACATACAAATAGTAAACTAGGGCCATTAGAAAGATCACGAAACGAAACTCTGCTTTTGTAAACTAACCCTTAGAATTCTTTTTTTTTTCTTTTTCATATCAATCAAATGTGGAATAAAGTAGAGACAAGAACTAATTAGACTACATTCCCGACGTTCGTTAGCGATTTTAGCTATTTACAAAAGAGTTAATGACAAAACAAAAAAATTATGTATTCAATACTAGCTTCGTACACAAGATGTGTCTTTCTTAGTTAAAGCTCTTGTGTATACAATATGTCCGCATCTTACTACATTGTTACAACATATTCGTAATATTGGTGGTGTATTATGCCGACCTTAGTAGCAGCATCTGCAGTGGTGTCCTTTTCAATATTATCAATGTACAACTCTTTACTCTTGTAATCAATTGTTTCTTCGGCTGTTTTAGGAATGGGTATGATTCGACTGCTGGCCAATGACACTCGTACCTGTAATCCAAAAATGTGTCATAGAATCATGAACAATATGTTCTGGTTTGAAAAGAATGACATCTATTATTATTTTTTTGTAAAATTTTAGCCTTGATATTGAATACCAACTGAAATATAAGTTAAGCAAGTTCATTAGAACAGGAATATAGGCAGAAAATGAACGAACACATTCTATAAGCTTCTAGCACTGTGTAAAATATAATAAATATAGAACATTGTTTTCTTTTATAAAAACCAGTAAGAGGAATAAAACTTTTATGAAAAAAAAAACATTTTTCTTACCTTATCTCCTTCTTCAGTGTATCTCCATTCTACATCAGTAGCCTTCAAGGACTCTGGGTCGACCAATTTCACATCACTAGTTACCAATAGCGGAGCTTCAGACTGAATTGTTATTCCTGGGAAGTTTTTATCTTTTCCAACCTAAAACAGAAAAAAATATAAATTTCCCATCTTATTGACTTAGATTTCAAACTTATTCAACTGTAACTAAAAAGAGCAGTCTGATTGAAAACAATGCAGTAATCAACTTAGTGGCTATTCTATGTGACAGCTGAGAACAATTTAAGTAATGGCGGAAACCCAGAGTGCACAGCGGATGGGCAGAGCGCACAGAAATTATTCATATTGTTAAATACTGAATGTTTACATAAGTTCTTGTAATATGAAACCACAGTGGGGATTCAATCTTGAATTTAAAATTATTTACATAATCTTCTATTTTATAATACTTACAACCCTAAGATGTGTATTAAGACCTTCGACAATAACCCAGTTACGCTCCTGTATGACTTGGGATACAATCCCTTGTTTACCTTTGTCTTTTCCTACCATAACTTCCACGCGATCACCTCTGAAAAAGATTTAACTGATATTAATTTGTTGTTTTTTTACTTGGTTCCCTTAGTCCGTTATTGAAATTACAACAAACAATATTTTTTATTATTATTATGAATGGTGCCTCTTTCAACGCACCTGAAAAATGTCCAATCACGAATCGGTTCGACGAAGACCTTCTTCCTTAATGTGCCAGGTTCATTCTGTTGCCGAAATTGACCGGTCCAGGGTCTGTTTGTTGTGAACCGGTACTTCTTACGAGCAACCTGAGCTTTCTTGTACTGAGGATACCCAGCAGGAGTCTTCCAGTAAACCTGGTAGAATCAATGCACAGAATTAATAAAAGAGGTTATGTTTTTAAAGTGAGCTGATATTTGTGTGAAGTGAATATCAACCTGTTCATAGCTTTTTTTGACATAGGATTCGGGAAAATTTGAGTATTTTATGGTCAAATCCCCGACTTTTTTTGCTAAATAACCGTATATTCGCATTTTTATATTTGTTTCGTAACTAATATGATCTTGTTTGACAGTAGTGTTTGATAGTAGGTAATAGTAGACATTGACAGTTTGATAGATCATTGCTGAACTCGATTCAAGAATATCGGTATTTCTTAAAACATTGATTAGTTATCAGTGGATCATGATTATTTGACTAATTTATCAGGTACATATTGATCAGTTTAGAATATAATCAATATTTGGATTCACCACCACTCCATTCACATTTAGAAGAGTAATATCTTTTTTTTTTTTATTACCTAGATTTGTGGACGAGCTCACAGCCCACGTGGTGTTTCTACAACGTAAAAGCGCCACATACCTTGAGATATAGTTCTAAGGTCTCAGTATAGTCACAACAGCTGTCCCACCCTTCAAACCGAAACGCAATACTGCTTTACGGCAGAAATAGGCGGGGCGGTGGTACCTACCCCTGCGGACTCACAAGAGGTCCTACCACCAGTAATTACGCAAATTATAATTTTGCGGGTTTGATTTTTATTACACGATGTTATTCCTTCACCGTGGAAGTCAATCGTGAACAATCGTTAAGTACATATTTCATTAGAAAAATTAGTACCCGCCTGCGGGATTCGAACACCGTTGCATCGCTATATACGAATGCACCGGACGTCTTAACCTTTAGGCCACGATGACTTCAATATCGCGCTCCAAGCTTTGTGTTACAAAAATCGTTCCTACAAAATTGTTCAGCGCATTAAATTGTTGGTGAATTAATACCGTTTCATTCATTAAACATTTTTTAATATCATTTCATTCATGAAATATTTGGGATATTTCCATCCATCCATATGTACAAGGTTTTTGAAAAAAATGGAAAAACAGTTATTTATTAAAGAAATAAATAGTGTATGTACTGATATCTCTATCTATCTATCTATCAGCCCATGGACGTCCACTGCTGGACATAGGCCTCCCCCAAGCCTCGCCACAAAGACCGGTCCTGCGCTGCCTGCATCCAGCGGATCCCCGCGAACCTTAATAGGTCGTCGGCCCACCTTGTGGGAGGCCTACCCACGCTACGTCTCCCAGTACGCGGTCGCCACTCAAGAACCTTCTGGCCCCAACGGCCATCTGTTCCGCGAGCAATGTGTCCTGCCCACTGCCACTTCAGTGTCGCAATCCTTTGGGCTATGTCGGTTACCATGGTTTTCCTGCGAATCTCCTCATTTCTGATTTGGTCTCGCAGGGAAACTCCGAGCATAGCCCTCTCCATTGCTCTTTGGGTGACCTTGAGCCTTCTCATAAGGCCCATTGTGAGCGACCACGTCTCAGTGCCATATGTCATCACTGGCAACACACACTGGTCAAAGACTTTTGTCTTGAGACACTGTGGTATTTGTGATGAAAATGTAATGTACTGATAAGTTGTTGGATTTTATGGTAAACTACATTGATATTTTGTATTTTCCTTTAAAAAAATCGTTACACATAAAATCATCAAACAAATCCTTTTGTTACATTCTCACATCTTTTTTACTGCAAAAAGAAAGCAAGTTTGATTCGCGAGTTTCCAGTTCTTCTATTCTTGTCTAAAGTATACGATTTCTGTCATAGATTTATAAATGATTTTGGTTACAACTGTTTGCAAAACATTTAATTTCATAGACAATTGACGTAAATCAGATGTTCGACATAAAGTTGTAGGTGGCAGCACAGCGTCACGTGAATTTTCATGGCGTTGAAGGGCTAGTCCCGAATTGTCTTGTGGTTTCGCCAAAATTATTTGCTGTTTCAGATAATTTATTATAAACAGCATTAATTTTTAAATTCTAGGTGAGTACCATGTTATGTTACTTGAAGTTTCGCGGACGTTACGTTTACGTGTGCATTCTGCGCGAGACCAAAAAGTGTCAATGTTGATAATGACTGGAGCGCATAGGGTGGTTTGGGGAGATTTTGGGCTGTTTCCATTACGGCGCCTGCATGTCTGGCCGCCGATCGGGCGCCGGCAGTGCGTGACTTGTATTGATTCCCTGCATAACTCGGGCGCGGTTCGCTTCTACCTGAAAACACTTCACTCCCGACCCTCATTCGTTACACTGGACTCCGACCACATAGAAAATCGATTGAGGCGACATGAAAGCCATTCTTTGGCCTGTAGGAATTTTTAATTAGTGTTTAAGGTGCGTGCCTATACAACAATAATAATTGATTGTCGGGACAAATTAGTTAATTTTAATTGTTGGTATTTCAGTGGTGAAAATGACTGAATACTGGGTGATCAGTGCCCCTGGCGACAAGACCTGTCAGCAGACTTGGGATACCCTGAACAATGCCACCAAATCAGGCAACCTCAGTGTCAACTATAAATTCCCTATTCCTGACCTTAAGGTAAGAAAAAAAAAACATGTGTGTGAAATGTATCAAAATTTTTTTTTTAAATAGTGGATGTGTACTATATATCAACCATTACCTGCTTTTTGTTTGATAATTGGTAATTTTTACATAAAAAGTAACTTTAATTACAAAAAAATACATAATCATTTGCCAATACCAGATCCCTTTCAAATCCACAGATTAAGTTTTATTTTTATTTAAATCAAATTCAATTGATTATATGTATTTATAAAAAAAATAGGATCAAATAACAAATTTGCTAAAATTTTCAGTTATATTTTAAAATCGAACATAAACTTGGATTAACAATAGTTTGCATGATGTTTAGAAATCTATGTATGGTAATTCCAAAAAATCCCAACACATTTATTATTATAATCTACATTGCTATAAAAATAGTAAAACTTAAAGATGTCAAATTAAGAAATAAAATAAAACAAATATTAGATTAGATATTTTTTTAAATCAAAATGTATTTGGCTCCTGATTTGTGGTGTACAAGTGGGATTAATAATAATATATAGGCAAAGTATTGTCTTAAATCCTTTTGAACTTATTATGATATGATGGTATATGACCAACTGTGTTTTAACTAAAATAGCTTGCCATTGTTCCAAAAGAATAATATTATCAGTGTTTCATAACAATATTATAATCCTTCATAGATTAAACACAATTACAAACATTACTTTAAAAATAAATACAATAATAAAACGTTGTGATAATGCTGCAATTTTAAAAACATTGCGATTAATATCAGGTTAGGCTAAGACTGAAAATGACTGAATATAAGGTCGTTCATGATCTGTGATTGTGCATCTGTAACCTCTCACATGAGAAGAACGTGTGATCCAGCTGAACTATTCATTTGCTTTAAATTTATTTCTTATTATGGCGGTGAATGAATGAATTTATGCTAATGGTTGCCACAGATTACAGACATGACAAAGTTAATCCCACCACCACCGTAGGCAGCGGCTTGGCTCTGCCCCTGGCATTGCTGAAGTCCATGGGCGACGGTAACCACTCACCATCAGGTGGGCCGTATGCCCGTCTGCCTACAAAGGCAATAAAAAAAACCCATCTTAAAATTTGAGGTCTTTGTCTTGACTTTATTATATAACAGCTATCCCACCCTTTAAACTGGAACGCATCACTGTTGCTGTTTTAATAAAATGATAATAGTATTTAATAACATTTATTATTGGTATATTCTATATATATCTTGGATGTTTTAGTATGCTGATGATTACAAGCAATACCCAATGTCTAGAGACTCCAAGAACTAAATAAGTTATAACTCTATGCCATACACTTATCACTATTATTCTTTACAGGTGGGAACTTTGGATCAGTTGGTGGGGCTGTCAGATGATCTGGGCAAGCTTGATACTTTCGTCGAAGGTGTGACCAGGAAGGTAGCCCAGTACCTTGGAGAGGTAAGCATGTTTCACTATCACATAAATCTTGATCTTAGCAACCAAGCAATAGCAAGATCTAATAACTGGACAACAAAGTCAAAATTTACATTTCACCAAACTCGTCTTCGGTTATTGAACGAAAAAAATCAACATTTCTTCAGTTGGTTCTTCAAATATTGTATTAATTAAAGAATAAAATGGTGACTCGGCAGTACCACACTTTTTTTTTATCCACAACTAATAAGTTGCCTTAATAATCATTTACTGTATTCAGAATTGGTTTCAATTACTCTGGCAGCTACCAAATATTTTTAACAAATACATACATGTGGTAACACAAACTACTCCCATGATATATGAATATTGTAGAGTAATGTAATGAATTAAAAAAGAAATTACATTCTGGCGTACTATAAGCTGCCTGTGGGAATACTTACCTATATAATCTGGCAAGTTGTTATTATGTACTCTGCTTTTGAATAAACCACAGCTTATAGAGTAGAGAGTATAACAGTTCAGCCCCTCACCTCATCTCTCAAAGTGAGGATTGACACTTAAAACCAGCTGATAAATTTTGATGTCGTCGTGGCCTAAAGGATAAGACGTCCGGTGCATTCGTATGTAGCGATGCACCGGTGTTCGAATCCCGCAGGCGGGTACCAATTTTTCTATTGAAATACGTACTCAACAAATGTTCACGATTGACTTCCACGGTGAAGGAATAACATCGTGTAATAAAAACCAAACCCGCAAAATTATAATTTGCGTAATCACTGGTGGTAGGACCTCTTGGGAGTCCGCACGGGTAGGTACCACCACCCCGCCTATTTCCGCCGTGAAGCAGTAATGCGTTTCGGTTCGAAGGGTGGGGTAGCCGTTGNCACGGGTAGGTACCACCACCCCGCCTATTTCCGCCGTGAAGCAGTAATGCGTTTCGGTTCGAAGGGTGGGGTAGCCGTTGTAACTATACTGAGACCTTAGAACTTGTATCTCGAGGTGGGTGGCGCATTTACGTTGTAGATGTCTATGGGCTCCAGTAACCACTTAACACCAGGTGGGCTGTGAGCTCGTCCATCCATCAATACATAATACAAATACGTTATTATTTCAACATATCTGATACTACATACTCTAATCATTGCACAAATACAGAATTAGGTCTTGGAAGTGTGGAATGCTTTAGCTGGGACTATATAATCTTGTTGCTATTCACAAAAATTAAAGCATATCATGAAACGCATCACACTATAGATATAAATTTTAATGAATTCATATTTTTTTTTCTCATCAGGTACTTGAAGATCAGCGCGATAAGCTCCATGAAAACTTGATGGCCAATAACAGTAAGCAATTATATTAATTACTATTTAAAGGAAAATCCTTTATACGACACTGAACATATTATATTTTAAAAAAAATTACTAAAAATAATTTTTTTCAGTGTCCTTAAATAATGATAAAATAAACTTATTTAAAAGAATAGAGAAATAGGATGCATGGTGGAGATTGAGTCTAGAAATTTTTTATGGCATGTTTGGGAATTTTAGGCTGCCATTATACAAATAAAAAACATGGCCACAAGATGTTGCCAGCATGAAAAACTAATTTTATTTTAAAGAAATTATAGCAAAGGGTTTATTATAGAGGTGAAAAAGCACATAGTAGTGCGAGAATTTAGCATGCGTCGCTGAAGTTCAGTGATTTTTATTTTACTCCAAGAATAATTTTAATTTTTTTTTCAACCTAATTCCTATATTTTGCATGTTTTCTTTTACTTTTGTTTTTTCTCTACACGCTGCCGGTTTCATTTTCGAAATGGCACCTGTCAGAGTGTATTTATTTTATGTTTGGTGTATTTCTCTTACATTAATTTGCAAATTTTATATAAAACTGCACAATATTATTATTATTATTATCATCATTTTAATTCTCTCTACATACTCACACATTCACACATCTCATCTCAATTACTCACAACTCACTAACAACTGAGACACTAATATGTACAAATACTGTGGACATAGTTTATTAAACATAATAAAACTATCGGCGAAATTTATATTCTTATGAAATAATAAATGAACAGTTTTCGAAAAAAAAAAAAAAAAAAAAAATTGGGCACATTTAGAATTCCTGCGTCAGTAGATAAAGTTTCGTAAGTCAAAAAAAAGTGAAAATTTCGTCGATAGAACAATAAATGGCTAGGAATGTTGAGTGGACAGTGTTAGATTTTTTTTTTAATATATTTATTTTAGAGGTACATACACGTGACTATGTTAAACCTCTAATGTTTTGTATATAGTCGAATTTTTAGGTTTGGTGTTGCACTATCTTTAGGACATTATTTCCTTATACGGTCCGGGATATTCGCAGAGTTTANGTGAAAATTTCGTCGATAGAACAATAAATGGCTAGGAATGTTGAGTGGACAGTGTTAGATTTTTTTTTTAATATATTTATTTTAGAGGTACATACACGTGACTATGTTAAACCTCTAATGTTTTGTATATAGTCGAATTTTTAGGTTTGGTGTTGCACTATCTTTAGGACATTATTTCCTTATACGGTCCGGGATATTCGCAGAGTTTAAACAAAAACGAATACCAAAGACTGTTAAGTCTGTATGTGAAAGACAATATTTGATGATTAATGAAAGAAAAATAGTAAATCGAAAATTGAAAGAGCTGTATGAATTTAAAAAAAAACATTAAATTTAATCTTCGTAACTTTGGTAAGTGGCAAATAAATATAGTTATTTATTCATTTTTTCTCCTACAATCTGAAAAAAAAACCAGGAACTTGTAAATAAGCTACATACACAAATAGGACACGAGCTTGGATGTTAATTTAAGAAGAAAAAAAAACTATTTGCTTTTTAATTTTTTATTTCTTTTAAAAAATGTTTTCGGCACCTGTCTAAAATATTTATTTTATTTCAAATAGATGAATGAGAATGTTAGTTTTTCGGATTGCATTTCAGTGTCTGAGAAATGGAAAAAAGTATGCGGCAGTAAGTAATTATATAGTAGTTTCAAAAATAAAAATAAAGCGCCTGTAATGTATTCTGTGCAAGTTCCATTTAGTGTTACGCTTAACTGTACATAGAAAATGTATTAAATATATTGTTTGTTGAAATTATGCTGGGATTTTCACTCAGTAAGGTCCGTGTTTTTTTTTTCTGTATTTTTTTTTTGGGTGTGTCATAGGCGCACGTGACGTCACAAGTGCAAGTTACGTCAATAAAATGTATGAAGCTGTATTTTTTTCTTTCATTCGTGTATTCTGATATCTGTCAGGTTCTCTTGTAAATTGTGTTTTATCGCGTCGATAAATCTTGTAAGATGCTGTAACTGATAAGTGTCGTTTGGAGACGCGATATTACGACTGACATATCGTGTGTTTGTGTGTGGTGCCGAAGGGATTCGACTATCAAAGACCACGGTTTTGTAGCAACCAAGTCAAGTTGTTGGCAACGTAAACTGAAGGGCTGATCAAACGTCTTGCTAATCAATTTGTCTTGGTAATAGATGGAAATGTACTAAATTCCAGGCACAACTTTTTAATTATAAGATGCGTCTTCATTTACAATAGGTAATAGCAATCACTGCCTCACAAGACATTCATAGCTTAGCTATATCAAGCTTAAACGTCTTATTGCTTTGCGCTTTTTATAAACAAAAAAAAATCAAACCAAATTGTTTACTATTATTATTATTTAGTTTATATTTTTTCTATATTTTTTTTTTCTCTTATTTTCGCTCCTGTCCTATACCTACTAATTTCCTCTAATTATTTTTTTTCGCCCTTAGCGCAAAGTCGTTGATTTGTGAATTCAAATAAACAAAAAAAAAACAACGACAATGATATAATCTGTGGATACTGTTGTTAAAACGTACACAGAACGGGAATAGCATTATGGGCCGCCATAAAACTGAACGAACGCACAGTATAGACGGTAACGTTTTGATGTAATAAAATAAAGTATTAAGTAATTTATAAATTAATGTAATCTCAAGGTGGGTGGCGCATTTACGTTGTAGATGTTTATGGGCTCCGGTGTTGGGCTCGTCCACCCATCTAAGCAATAATAAATAAATAAATAATTTTTTATCATCATCAGACACTCAGCAAGTGTCATAAACATAGTAAATTTAAAAATAATAATAATATAATAAAAAAAATATGCGCCTTTGTATACGGTGATTGGCGAATGCGGAATTCAGGCATGGATTCATACGGGGACCCGGGCGGGGGCGAGCCGCCTCCGACGCCCACCTCGCCGGTCTGCGACTCGGCCTACTCTGAGCACCACGGGTGTTGGCCTTGCGAACACCGCGAGCATTCAGAATGCGAGGCGTCACATCCGTCGCATTCCCAGCCCTCGAGCGGCCGGAGCTCGCCACGTTGGGACGATGACGAAGACGAGGAGAGACCCCACCACGTCCTCTCACAAGGTTTAGGCTACCACCACCTCCCACGCCCCCGCAGACGAATGAGTAGAGTTTGAGGCTTGTGATTTTTTTTTGTTTTACTAACCTGTGTAGGTACGTGTAATTTCCGGAGTAAAGTCTCAAGTTCTGTTCAATTTTGATCGTACACAACCCCGTAGCATCTGCAAAAGACGTTTTTTTTTTCCCACACACGTACAGCGCTACCTGCCTAATTTATCTATATACGTTTATCACGATTATTGTAAACTCAGCTATTGTGACGGCAGTGATTGCATATTTATTGTTAATGTGTTGTTTGGGTATTGTTTGTTTGATGAATGCAGTTGGCGTTGGCCGTTGGCTCGTATCGGTAGCGCCAGCCTGAATTGAGTAATTGTAACGCGAAAGTTTAGGGTGACGCTTGACGATCAAGGGCGGATCCAGCTTTGGCGCCAGGAGGGGGTCACATAGTGGTGGGCAAGTTAAGAACTTATAATTTAATTTTGATAACAATAGATAATAAATAAATCATGATGTTCTTCAATTAGTCCAAGTTAGTTCAAGTCCTGGAACTAGCTCAGGGGGGGGTCATGACCCCCATGACCCCCCCCCTGGATCCGCCGTTGTTGACGATACCGTAATGATTATAATTTTGTGCCGATATAATGGTAATAATACACAGTAATGTCGCTTACGGATCAGTGTAGTTTAACGTTTGTTTGAATATATTTCCGTTTATTCATTATTTATGTCGTATGTAGCTTTTTACACAAATGTATTTGTTATAATTTTTAGCTTTTTCGAAATTCGTTTTACGTTCGCTTCTTTTGTTAATCATCACTGTTATTTTTATTTTTTAATTTTTTTTTTTTCATTTTTGTTAATTTCTCAGTTACGTACCTTTCGCTGTTAAGTCCGGATGCGTTTGTTATTAGTTATTGTTGTGTAACTATTAATAACGCTTCGTCGTTTGAAATCTTGAGTTTGTGTTGAGTTTATGATTTGCGTCGATCTCATCATGGTCAAGTAGAATTAATTGTGTGTTACTCTGTATCAAGGGCCCTTGGTTCGAGGATGATTTAAGTTTTCCGTCGAAAGCCTAATTTAAAATTTACTCGTAATTTATTTAATATTCCTTTAGAGATTTAGTGATATTTATATACCACTAACGAATTGGTAGCTTGTTGCAAGATATAAGACTGTTTATTGTGTTGCTAGTGTTTGAGAAATTGCAGATGATTTAGAAGAGAAAAAAAATATATCGTTTAAAAACACGAAAGCTTACGTTACCTAGATTTTAAAAATCTCTCGCAAACAGTTGCAATGATAAAATAAATAGTTTGCGATTTAAAGTGGTGCCGTGTTTATTTTTCTAATTTACGATAATAAACTTTTAGCTAGTACAAGAATTGATGACATGAAATATGGCTACGTCTTAATTCGGAATTTTGAGAATGCGACAGTTGAATGTTGATAGTTATGTATTATATGAATCGATTTAGTATATTGTTATGAGGTATAATAATAATGTTATTAGCTATCACGGGGAAAATTGTTTCAGTTCCAGAATCTGAGTTTATATTGCTTTCAAAAATGAAAATTTCCAAAAAGTGGTGTTTTTTTCTTTTGTCTTTTGTTTATACTATTCAACTGAGCTTCTTATCGGAACTTCTCAGTGGGTCGCGATTCTGATCTTATAGTATATTCTGCGAACCATCACTCTTGCTACGGCTAGTGTTAGCAAATTCTCTCAGATCGAGCCCGTGAGCTGGAATAGTCCCTTAGGCTAACAGCGTATAAGTAGGGGGAAAAATCACGGTTCACCTGGTGTTAAGTGTTTATTAGAGACCATGGGCATCAACAAAGTAGATGCCGCCACCCACCCTGAGTAGTTCTGTCTCGCTTCGTACAACATGCGAATGCATTACTGCACACAAACACAAAGAGCAAACAAACATCATCATATACAATATTTGCCCGACGTGGGAATCGAACCCACGACCCTCGGCGCAATAATTATGGCCGCTAACTATTGCAGCACCGAGTATTTTTATATATAAACGATTTATTTAATACGAATTATGTATTTATATTTAGTAATTAATGAATATAGTTGCTCTGGTTCTTGGCACACAGAAGTATATTTTGATAATTAGTGTTTTTTTTTTTTGTATAAGAAGTAAAATGCAAACAGTAGGTATAAAAAAAAATGGACGCCTAAGAGGCTCAGCAGTAGGGTTGCCAGATTCTTTTTAACCTATAAGGGGCAAATGCTTAAATAGGCAATAAAATACGGGAATTTAGTTTTTTTTACCCGGTACAAATAAAAAACAAAATTATATAGTGATATTCTTTATTTGTTTTTTTTTTTGATATTTCTCCGAGGAGCAAGTCAGTTTTATCATATTTATAAAAATCAATACAATTATAATCGTACGGTTCGAATACGGGACAGAGTCAGTCCCGTCGGGACATTTAAAACTAAGACTAAAATACGTGACGTACCGGGAAATACGGGACCTCTGGCAACCCTACTCAGCAGTGTTGTACCACTGAAGTGTAACTGGCAAGTTCGAGATTGGGAATAATGTTTACGATTTTTTTTCTTCTGAAAAGCTTGTACGTACGTTGTGGCCACACTCTCTTGTCAGTGTATTGACATTGTCAATGTCATGTGGGCCGTCAAAGGCTAAGGCTAATAATAAGGCCTTAGGTTTCTCTGTTATTTGCATGTGTGCATGATTTTCTGCATGACCCGTTTTATGTAACGTCGATATTATTGTGCATGACGTAGCTAGTAGTTTTTTTTTTTTGCTTAAGTACATTATAATTTTTTGCACTTTAAAGAATTTTTAGATATTTTAGGGTTACGCTCTTTATGTGTGTGAGCGTTGTTCCCATGTGACGATAAATTACAGACGGCCGCACTCGGAGTTTTTTTTTATATTTATTTCTAACTGTAACTTTATCGACTTCGACTATCGACTATCTTTTGTCACACATGTGTACAGCTCTAGTGAATTCATTCGAGATTATATTTGAGAACGTAAATTTTGCTATATAATTTATTATTAACGCGAATTATTTTATTAAGAAATAACTTTTGGTAAATTTCGCATTCTTGTGCATATAAACGCCAAAAAACCTAATTGGATGGTTCAAATTTTTTATTAAACTTTAGGCAAAGGGTAGCATACCGTGTCGGTTCAGACTTCAGAATTAAAATAAGTTTAATTTCTGTTCTGTCTCATTGATAAGTATGTTTTTTTATATACGTATATACGTAAAAATGCAACGGAAATAATAATTATTATTTTCAAATGGCAATCTGAGTGCGGCTTAAACTTTTAAATGTAACCACCAAGAAACGTTGGCTTTTTTTTTTTTTTTTAATGAAATTTAATCTGTTGAATTATCTTTTAAGTTGTTATTGGTTTTCTTTTAAATTATCAGCGAATTATAAAATTTAGAAATCGTAATTTAGAATTAGTATAGATTGAAATGGAGTGATGTATTCGATAGATTGGATTTCAAATGTAACTGGTAACAATTTAAGATGTAACTGTGAGATTTTGTTTGGAGAAAACTGTTTTTTTTTTAATCATTCGATGATCTAAAAGCTATGTACAAGATGAATCTATACAAAATCCGTTTCGCAGTCGCACAGCATCCACAATTAATTACACGGACAGAAAAATCATTTTTAATTGTAAAATTTAGTTTCCTGTGTCCGCTTCTACGTGATCCTAATGATTAATAAGAATGTTGTTCGCATTGCAATATCTAAGGTCATCATCATCATCAATCTCCTGCCCTTCTCCCAGTCACGTGGGGTCGGCGCAACATGCTTTCTTCTTCCATACTCCTCTATCATATACCATTTCTTCGCTCACTCCCCTCTTACACATATCGTCTTTCACGCAACCCATCAATTTCTTCTTAGGTCTCCCTCTTCCTCTATAGCCTTTCACATTCATAGTTAACACTCTCTTACCAACCTCATTGTCAATATCTAAGGGTCCTAAATTGTCAACTATTGGCAACTAACATTGTCATTGACAGAATCAGATATTTTAATTACAACAAAACACCATCCGACGATTGTGAAATGGATTGAAATTTTAAAACAGCAAATGAAAATCAATATTTTGTAAAAGTCATAATCGTTGTTTCTTAGAACAAAATGAAAACAGTTATTGTTTTGCTTTAAAATTAATCACTTAGTTCTTTCAGTAATGATAATGACGTTTTTTCAGGTGACCTCCCCACTTATTTGACTCGCTTCCAATGGGACATGGCTAAGTACCCCATAAAGCAGAGTCTGCGGAATATTGCCGACATCATAAGCAAACAGGTAAAGTATATACTGGGCGTTAGGAGACCGCTTCCGAAAACTAAGACAGACGATAGTACTAATGATACCTTTGATGATGGGACGGGGGTTTCTAACCCATGAATCAGCTCGCTGAGACTCTCGCCGGATCTTCTCAGCGGGTCGCGATTCCGATCCGGTAGTAGATTCATTCGCGAAGCAGCTGCTCTTGAGTTGTTAGTTCTCTTTCGGAGGCGCTCGGGCAGTTGTTAGGAAATCCCACCTGTCCTGATGCCCCCGGGCCACCATTAATCCTTCAATCCTAAAAAAAGAAAGAAAATATGATGGGACAGAATAAAATATCGATCCTAATTAAAAAAGAATCATATTTTTAAAACGTTTGATTAGCATTATTCACGCTCCATCATGTTAGTACAGCTAAATGAAAAGATAGTTTCATAAAAAATACATAACTTTACTTAAAAAAAAAACAAAACCAGCAATGAAACAGTAAATCAAAAACAGCTGATGCTCGGGTCAACGACTGCCCGGGCGCGGCGCTGTTATCGCGCTCCCTATAATTTACAACTTTGTAGGTACAAAATTTTGATTTTCGGAAGCGGTCTCCTAACACCCAGTATATACATAAAGAACTCAATTATTATTTACATCAAGGAACCGTGTGATCTAGACACTACAATAATTCTATAAATTAATAGGAGAACCATAAAATTGGTACCCCTTTTACCCGGAGAATTTGGTATAACCCCTCGAGGCTAGTAGAATAGATAGGAAAAAAGCACCCCTTTTTACTAGAATGGCACGGACGGAGGAGTATGAAATTTTCCATACTTATAGAGAATATGTATATAGAAGGAGTGGTGCAGAAGAATAAAAAGTGTCTCAGTGGGAAAATTAGCATTCTGCATTTTTTCTTCCGGCACCCTAGTGCTCTTGGAGCTCAAACCAGGCGTTTCTAATACTGGCCCTAGCAAGAGCAGTGCTTCGCAGAATCTACCACCGGATCGAAAACCCGACCCACTGAGAAGATTCGGCGAGAAATTCTGTGGAAAACGCAGCGACTCCAGCACCAGATCGACGCGGTGACGGGAGTACTAATAAACGTTCTCGTATCACACAGGTAGGACAGATCGACGCGGATCTGAAGGTCAAGTCCTCCGCCTACAACGCTCTCAAAGGAAACCTACACAATTTAGAGAAGAAACAGACGTAAGTATTTACATATACATAGGGCAGACTAAGGGACATGATGACGGTTAGAATTGATCAGCATATTGTACATGTTAAGAATAGCCGGGTGCACAATTTTGTAGTTTTATATACGTGCTACCGATGCTAGTAACAGCTGATACTTTAGATGGGTCAAAATCCAAGTACCCGCTCTGACCGAAAAAAAAAGTTTTTTATTTTTTTTATTGCACTTAGACATCACAACGTAAATGCCGCCACCCACTTTGAGATGTGAGGTCTCAGTATAGTTACAACGGCTGCCCCGCCCTTCAAACCGAAACGCATTACTGCTTCACGGCAGAAATAGGCAGGGTAGTGATACCTACCCGTGTGGACAAGAGGTTTTTTTTTATTGCTTAGATGGGTGGACGAGCTCACATCCCACTTGATGTTAAGTGGTTACTGGAGCCCATAGACATCCACAACGTAAATGCGCTACCCTCCTTGAGATGTGAGTTCTTAGGTCTCAGTATAGTTACAACTAGAGATGAAACGGATATTCGGTAACTATACGGTATCCGGCTTATCCGGCCATGTTTTCACTATTCGGATACCGGATAGTAAATAAGTATCCGGCCGGATTTCTTATAGTAAAATTTAAGAAAATCTCATGGTTATACAAAAGGCAAATAATACCACAATAGGCTATGGGCAACTTTTATTTTTATAATCGCACGTCAAAAGCGATTGTTTTATCAATTAGTTTGTTTAATATTCAAAATTAATAAGTGGCAAATTGTGGTGAATAAATACCAAGTCGTACCGAGTCGCGCACGAATATTTCCGAAAAGGCCGAATATCCGGTCAAACCACTATCCGTTTCATCTCAAGTTACAACGGCTGTCCCGCCCTTGAAACCCAAACGCATTACTGCTTCACGGTAGAAATAAGCAGGGCGGTGGTACCTACCAGTGTGGACTAACAAGAAATCCTACCGCCAGTGTCAATATTAACTATTAAGTGCGGTACGCGAGTCGTATGCTAATCTGTACCGTTTGTCTCCTGACAGCGGGAGCTTGTTGACCCGCAACTTGGCCGATCTAGTCAAGAAGGAGCACTTCATCTTGGACAGCGAGTACCTGACCACACTCCTGGTCATCGTGCCCAAGTTAGTATGGCAATGCATTTGCATTGCATTAGAATTTTCTAATTTATCTAATTACTAGCGACCCGCCCTCGCTTCACTTCGGAAACTGTAATTTGTTATTGATTTCTCCACTATTTAATGGATGTTATTATACATATAAACCTTCCTCTTCAATCACTCTATCTATTAAAAAAACCGCATGAAAATAGTTTTAAAGATTTAAGCATACATAGGGATATAGGGACAAAGAAAGCGACTTTGTTTTATACTATGTAGTGATTAGCTTATTATTTCATTGCATCGCTGTTCTAAAAGTTACCTTTTTTACTGATATTTATCAATGTCACCTGATGATGATGGATGGATGAATGGATCGCATCATGAATACTATCACCTGCCCCGAAAACCCTGAGATCAAAGTTTCAATTGTGTTGAAAAACTGGGTTTCCCACCTCAATGGGAGCTCTAAGTGGAACTGATGACTGTTTCGCAGCCAAATAGGCAGGATGGAAGTACCTACCCGTAATGCGATACTAAACCTAAACTGAGTTAAAAGCCGGTTGCATTAAGCCAGGGCCTTTGCGGGTTAATTAAATTTCCTACAAAACCTGGAGGGCTGCAGAAAAAAAACGGTGCGCTTGCAACTTGGCGCACGTGAATGAAGTGAAACTTCTTTTTCGATGTGTAGTATTGTGTAGAAACGACCTAGTGTAATGTTGTACTTTGGGAGGTGTTAAAGGAAAACGTCTTCTTGCGTGTATTCCATGTTTAATTATCATCTTAATCCTAGTTTACAATTATGAAGAAGCCTATGTTTCAGGGTGGTCCGCCTTATTAGGGAGAAATACGAGATTACACCTATTAATAATGTTATATACTAAATGCTATGCCAATACTATGCTATGCTATAATATATAAGTATACACAATTCAGTAGCTCGTTTTGTCCTTTCGATCTCTCCACGGTCGAGTGATTAGCGAGACGCTCTGTCTATTTTCTCACTCTCGCTCTACCTAAACTGTATCTTTTCTCTCTAGCCGTAACGAGTTTGTTGCGTGTTAAATTTTAATCAAAGAAGTTTAACTTCTAAAATTTTTTTTTTTTACTCATTATCATAGGTCAATGTTCAACGATTGGAATGCCAACTACGAGAAGATAACGGACATGATCGTGCCGCGCTCCACCCAGCTCGTCCACCAGGACAACGACTACGGACTCTTCACCGTCACCCTCTTCAAGAAGGTGAGCGAGTGACCCGGTGGTAGGACCTCTTGTGAGTCCGCGCGGGTAGGTACCACCGCCCCGCCTATTTCTGCCGTGAAGCAGTAATGCGTTTCGGTTTGAAGGGTGGGGCAACCGTTGTAACTATACCGAGACCTTAGAACTTATATCTCAAGGGTTGTGGAGGATTTACGTTGTAGATGTCCATGGGCTCTAGTAACCACTCTTAACACCAGGTGGGCTGTGAGCTCGTCCACACATCTAAGCAATAAAAAATAAAAAAGATCTCTGCTACCATCTTCACTGCTCCTCCGAACTGAAGGGTTTTGAGGTCCCGGCATACACGATTTTATGTCCATGAACCCGGTTATTCAATAAATAAATAAAAACATTATCTCAATTTTTTGTACCGTCAGTGGAATAATTTTGAATGGTAGGGTTTTTATTGTCTGTTGAGTAATGAATAATGATACACTGAGAACTTTTAAATTCGTTGTTTGGATGAGCTTGGCGAGTTAGGCCAGAGCTTATGATGAGGAAGTCAGCTCTGAGGGCTGATGATATCATATTGCTCCGCCACTGATCAACGGGTGAGGAGATTTCATTAACGCCGTTTTTTTTTATTGCTCAGATGGATGGACGAGCTCACAGCCTCATGGTGTTAAGTGGTTACTGGAGCCCATAGACATCTACATGTAAATGCGCCACACACCTTGAGATATAAATTCTAAGGTCTCAATATAGTTACAACGGCTGCCCCATCGTTCAAACCGAAACGCATTACTGCTTGACGGCAGAAATAGGCAGGGTGGTGGTACTTATCCGTACGGACTCACAAGAGGTTAATAAAATTGCGAAAAATTTGATAGTTTCGAACACCCTGTATGTATGTGTTCGTCGCGAGCAGGTGGCGGACGAGTTCAAGCTGCACGCTCGCGAGCGCAAGTTCGTGGTTCGCGAGTTCGCTTACAACGAGGCCGACCTGCTCGCCGGCAAGAACGAGATCACCAAGCTCGTCACCGACAAGAAGAAGCAGTTTGTGAGTCTCTTTTCTACGGAGAATGGATCATCATCATTCGCCTTCCATACTCCTCTATCATATACCATTTCTTCGCTCACTCCCCCGCATACACATATCGTCTTTCCAGACGACCAGAGCGACGTGCATCTTTGACATCAAAATTCCCAGATTGAAAACGCCTAAACCAAAGGACAATGCCCATTTAAAGTATATTACAAAATTGCTCTAATAAATAAAAACTAGAAATATGTTGTTAATTTTAAATCATATGAAGCACTGGATAAAATATTTAAAAAAATAAGACGTCTTATTGACATTGCAGTACGTATCATCGTTTTTTTAATCATTAATTCATGCTTTATTTATTACGGTCCGGTTGACACTATACAATGGAGACAGACTAGATATGTCCAAATAACTGACATGTTTATTTGATAGCATACAGATAAGTATTTAAAAGAACACTGATCTGGCTTAGCTTATGTGATGATCATTAAGTTCCTAGTGCAAAACTAATAGCAATGTTGTCTGTAACCGATAAAATGTATAAAAAACCAGTAGGAAGTTATCATGTTTAATGTCCAATATCTCTTGAACCTGTGCTTTATGTGACATTAAATCTAGATATCATATAAATACTGTTAAAAAGCTATCATATGGCATAGAGCTGCAATTTGGGCATTGCAGGACATTGTTGACTTTCAGCTCCATACTAATATGGGCATTGTCCTTTGTGCTACTCTCACAGACACTACACTAAGTCCATACATATCGCAATTTTTTTCGCGGCTGGCGTTGCATTTTTACTCTTTTTGTAGTAAAATTTTAAAATGTATCGAATTTCTTCATTAGATTCACTCATCTTGACAGTACAAAAATAAATAAAAATCACACATTTTCCTAATTTGAATTTGGAATTATCTTCGCTAAAATTTAAATTTTTAATGATACCAAAACCAGCCAGATACAAATAGTATAGTCAAAGAGATTTTATTACAAGTTCATAGATACTATAATGAGAAAATACTTTTCCCCCAACCTATTATACAAAATATTTTGTATAATTTAACTTTATTCTTGTAACATTACATTCCCATTATATTATTTAAAAGTGAAGGTATCTTTTACTATTCATCATTCTCCTGTTCTTCTCCCAGTCACCTGGGGTCGGCGCGACATGTTTTCCTTACTCCTCTATCATATACCATTTCTTCGCTCACTCCCCTCTTACACAAATCGTCTTTCTCGCAATCCATCCATTTTTCCTCAGCTCTAACTGTTCCTCTAAAGCCTTCCACGTTCATAGCTAACACTCTCTTACCAACAATGAATGTCAATATCTAAGGTCATCAATGGTCCTAAATCTATATGGACTTAGATTGGCAACTAACTTTGTCATTGACAGAATTAGATATTTAAATTGCCACAAAACACCATCCGACATTTGTGAAATGGATTGATATTTTAAAGATTATTCTTCTAAAGCCTTCGACATTGATAGTTAAAACTCTCTTAACAAACTCATTGAGACGAAATGTCTCATCACATACCATACCAAACGCGCACTTTTCGTAGGGTGAATGGATATTTAGTTTAAGCAACATTTCGCTTAATATACGCGACATTTATCTTTGTAATTAAAGGCGCGTTTTATTTGGTACTAGCGACCCGCCCTCGCTTCGCTTCTGAAACTGTAATTTATAATTGATTTCTCCACTATTTAATGGATGTTATTATACATATAAACCTTCCTCTTCAATCACTCTATCTATTAAAAAAATCCGCAGCAAAATCCGTTGCATAGTTTTAAAGATTTAAGCATACATAGGGATATAAGGACAGAGAAAGCGACTTTGTTTTATACTATGTAGTGATTAGCATCAACGGTTCGATGTTTTTAATTGAACTTCAACTAAGTTTACTTCATTCAAATAGCTAAAGAAGTTTTTGTTGTCATAATATTTTTTTCCAAGTTTTAAACTTTAAATGGCTCTCTTGTAAAATTGCAAAAATGTCGCCCAAACTAAACCGCCTTTCACTCCTCAATATGTTTTACACATACTTATGATTGATATCAATGATAGTTCTACTTATAGGATGAGATAAAATATTTTCAGATCTGTTTTCAAAACTAATTTCTGTTCGAACAATATCAGTAAGCAGCAGCGAATACGTTGATTACATATTACTTATTTTCGTGTTGATGCCCAGGGACCGCTGGTGCGATGGTTGAAGGTGAACTTCTCCGAGTGCTTCTGCGCTTGGATCCACGTTAAAGCTCTGCGTGTGTTCGTCGAATCCGTTTTGAGGTGAGCTTTTTTTGTAATATGGCATTCTATTAATATTTGATAATATATATTATTATGTAGGTATGTTTTTGGGATTGATGTTGAATCGATTTATTCGCAGAAATATGGTCACGTGAATTAGTAGAGCTTAGGGAACAATCATTTGTACTCATATCGTTTATAACAAATTATTAAAACATGATGCACGTGAAAGAAGTGAAACTTCTTTTGTGGTATGTAGTATCGTGGTTTTCTTCATTTTTCATGCTTAAACTAAATTTATCTAATATCTAGTAATAGGGAAAATTTTGGGATAAATTTATCTAGTAATAGGGAATTAAATCTTTAAAATAAATGAAATATAAGGTACTTAATATGTTACTGCACTGTTACTGTTAGGAGCAATGAGAAAGTAATAACAAGCCATCTAGTGGCCGACGCCCGTAAACAAAATATGTTTGAGAGAAACGACCTAGCTCGCTTTTTTTCTCTCACGGTCGAGTGGTTCGCGGGACGCTTTGTCTATCTTATCACTCTCGCTCTTCTTAAATTGTATCTTTTCTCTCTAGCCGTAACGAATCTGTAGCGAGTTAAATTTTACTCTCAACGCGTCTAAAGAAGTTTCACTTCAAAAACTTGCGATTGGATGGGGTTTTTAGTTTGAAGGGTGGCCGTTATACAATTGAGACTTGGACCTTATGTCTCAAGGTGGGCTAACGTTGAGCAAATTTCTTGAAAAAAAGATGTGTGGTGTCTTGGGACACCGGATAGGAACGAAGTTTTTTATTATAAAAATAGAAATTTTAAGTTCTATTCGAGGTATAAAAATAATAATTATTCAGGTATACATTTTTTACTATGATTTTTTTTATTGATAAAAATAAATAAAAACTACTTTACAAAGTTATCAACTTTATTTTATTCACAATGATTTATAAAAAATATATAATATTAATATGCAAAGAAACGGCTATTTATATGAATAATAATAATAATGACCGTCATCACGTAGACTATACATTAAACACTGTATAGCCATCATACTAAGACTATAGTCCTAGTATGATTGCTCATTCGGTAACGTGCGAACTTATTGTGGTACACTTCATTCGCGGTTGTTTGCAGCATAAGAGTTAGTGTATTGCGCAAACGAACGCTCTGAGATCGTGGTCAATGAATGATAAAAAAATATGTAATTTTTTGTACGTTATTAAAAAGTTAAGTCATACACTATGTGCATTACTAATTTGTACGCTATTACAAAGTTAAGTCGGCACAGTGTTCATTACTAATAAAAATCTTACGTTACGGACGTTTTTCCCGGTTAGGGGGTGTCCCTCCGTATCGTCCCACAAGCAGCCTCGTTCCAAAATATAAAAAAAGCTATAACTGCTTATATTATGCACTATTACATTCCAGATACGGTCTGCCGGTGAACTTCCAGGCCGTGGTGATGGTCCCGGCGCGCAAGAGCATGAAGAAGCTGCGCGACCTCCTCAACCAGCTCTACGCGCACCTCGACCACTCCGCGCACGCGCACTCCGCCGCCGCGCCGGACGTACGCACGATACATTTTTTTACTACTTAAGCTGAGAGCCTTAAGAGGCTATTTCAGCTTCACCTTAACTAGTAGGTGAGCTCACGGGGCTCAAACCTGACGACGTTGCTAACACGAACCCTAGCAAGAGCCGTGCTTCGCAGAATCTACCACCGGATCGGAAACGCGACCCACTGAGAAGTTCCAGCGAGAAACTCAGTGGGCTGTGTCTATGGGTTAATTTACTCGTCGAGCCCTTCGTCGCAAGGGACGGGTTCGACGAGAACGGTGACCGGTGCTCGAGGTACTTAAAAGCACCGTTAGTGGATCGGGAGGATCCGAGATGACGTGTTTAGTTCTTTAGTTCTATTAGTTCTAATTAGGCTTAGTTAGTAAGGAAAAAAAAACAAGCAGATTACAACAGTCGGCGCCGGGTTGCATCCTCCTCGGCCTCCATCCTGCCGCTGACTCAAGCCCAGCCTCGTATTATGTATAAGTATATATGTCGATGTGGAGTGCGCCGAACGCGTATGCGAACCCCTCCTCTCAGTCCTTCCTGCGTCATTTCACCCCTGCCCTACGTGGCAGGAAGCTTCTGCCCGGTTCGCCCCGAGGCCCGTTCCAGCCCCCCGTAAGGGGGTACGACGACTTTTTTTTTTATTGCTTAGATGAGTGGACGAGCTCACAGCCCACCTGGTGTTTAGTGGTTACTGGAGCCCTTAGACATCTACGACGTAAATGCACCCCCCACCTTGAGATATAAGTTCTAAGGTCTCAGTATAGTTACAACGGCTGCCCCGCCCTTCAAACCAAAACGCATTACTGCTTCACGACAGAAATAGGCAGGGTGGTGGTACCCGTGCGGACTTAATTACCACTAATTACGCAAATTATAATTTTGTGGGTTTAATTTTTATTACACGATGCTATTCCTTCACCGTGGAAGTCAATCGTGAACATTTGTTGAGTACGTATTTCATTAGAATAATTGATACCCGCCTGCGGGATTCGAACACCGTTGCATCGCTATTATTATAATGATATTTATTGTAACGTGCATAATGTTTTTATCTGTTGTGTTACAGAGCGTGGAGCTAGCCGGCCTAGGTTTCGGTCAATCGGAATATTTCCCGTATGTTTTCTATAAGATCAACATCGACATGATCGAGAAATCGTCGGCCTAAATAGAATGAATGCGTCTTTTAAGCTAGGTGAGTACCGTGATTTTGTTGACACGTTAACTGCCATGTTAGGCATAAGTAAGAAAAAAAGCTATCTCTCAATCACAGATCCACCTTAACATTTAAGATAGTATTATTATCTATATCTGATATGATATCCACTATTTCTTCTTCTTTAATTTTTGGCTCCGGTACGGTTTGTGCATTAGCCAGCGTCGAGTAATACATCCACTATTTATTTTAACACATTGACTGTATTCTGACACATTTCACACATTTCTGTTACTAAAGCGCCTGGATTGAATAACTTTGCCTTCTTTTGTTTGTTATTGTATCTTCGGATTGGCCTCTCCCAGAGTCTACTAGATATTCCGGCGCCTTAGTAAGAAGATCGAAGAGAGAAATAGACTTAATTACTTCATTGCGCCGCGTAGGGCACCGGTGACCTAAATGGTAGTCAATGTGCTAAAACAAACGGATGTTTTTTTTAACGGATTTTATGACCTGGTAACTGAGACCTTTATGTCATGTCTTATGAAAAATGAAAAATGATATTATGGAGTGAAATGATATGAAGATGATTAATTTGATACATTAATCAACTGGGATGAAATTAAATGAAATGAGATGGGATGAAATATAATCTCAGTAAAATGGTGGTCATTTACTAAGATTATTTCAATGTACTTTTTGGAGGATCCCGAGAAGTTACGTCCAGCGGCTTTGTTTCATTTTCCCACATTTGTGCACTTTCACAGATATTAAACAGTTAATTAACCACCATTATTACACATTTAAACCTGAAGAAACACTAAATAGACAAAATAAAACAAATCACACAACAGATAATACTAGCTTAAATGTTAGGTTGATCTGTGATTGAGGGATTGTGCTATTTCCTACCTATTCGCTGGTAGTCTAAGGGGCTATTCCAGCTACGTCCGGACGGGTAGGTGAGCTCACTGGCTCAACCTTAGAGAACTTGCTAACACCAGCCCTAGCAGTACTTCGCAGAGTCTATCACCGGATCGGAAATTCGATCCATTGAGATCTAGCGAGAAACTCAGTGGGATTGACACTAGTACACGTAATATTGTGTTTTGATTAATATTCTTTTTCTATTTACAGGTAATGTTACCATCACCAACCGGCTTTATTACATGATCGAAATTTAAAAAAATATATCGGTCAGAACAATAATCGCCATTGTACTGTACAATTCAGTTGTTTAACACAGGAACCCTTTGCCTTGTTTGTAAATTGTTTTTTTTTCTATGTACAGTTTTTAATGTAGTTTTTATTTTGACAATATTCTATAATTTTGAAAAAGAAATCATGTAGTTTGTCTGTTTTTGTTTTTTTTTTTAAGAACATAGCAGGTTTCGTTGTTGGTGAATGTGCAAAATGTATTTATGTTTATAATTTATTTAACCCGGAAGCGCCGCTGTCACCGACGTGACATGAGCAAAATAGATTTAGAAAAAAAAGGCCTTCTGGTTATTTCTTTACACACACTTTTTCTTAGATCTATTGTCGTATTTAATGAGCATAAAAGAAAACAACATCTTGGAAATAAAATAGAATCGCAAGTACGTTTTTAATTCACAGACTCCATATTGGAACAATGGGCACACCTTTTGCCAGGATAGAAAATAAATAATGTTGCCATAAAAAAAAATGTTCTTGTGATTTTATGAACTTAGCTGAGACAAATACGACAATAAATCAAAAGCACTGTGTTGTAAGCTTAAAAGCTTTGAATCGGTTGATTACTTTCAAACGCAACAACGTGTTCAGTATTAAATGTACGACAGTTGCAAATGTAGATTTATGTATGATAAATAAAATGTTCAATAAATATAAAAATGAATAAATATTGCAAAATGCTAAATGTAAATAATAACATTCCTCATATAATTCGCGTAGTACATAAAGAAAATAAATATTATTCGAGTTACTGTTATATTTAGTTTCATTTTGTATATTGGTTACTGTTTTACACTAGAGTTGGGGTTTGGTGCATAAGTTGTATGTCCCATCTAGAAATCTACATCGGTTTTTTTTTTGTTTATTGCTATGGATGTACGAGCTCACAGCCTACCTGGTGTTAAGTGGTTACTGGAGCCTATAGATATCTATAACTTAAATGCCGCCACACACCTTGAGACATAAGTTCTAAGGTCTCAGTATAGTTACAACGGCTGCCCTACCCTTCAAACCGAAACGCATTACTGCTTCACAGCAGAAATAGCCAGGGTAGTGGTACCTACCCATGCAGACTCACAAGATGTCCTTCCACCAACTGTGTTTTCATATTCAAAGTTATATGTTATTGTAGTATATGGTAAAACAAAACCACATTTTACATTGTAGTCCCATATTACCCATATGTCCTGCCTATTTCAGTCATGTTATTATTTCAATTGATACTACAATATTTCAAGGTGAGGTTACATTGAACTTATGATATAAATGGGCTCTAGTAACCACCTAGCTATATTGATAATATTCATACATTCACGCAATAAACCATTGATATAAAACTATGTATCTCTGTTATTGTATGTAGTTCAGTTAATGATTATTTAGGTTGCCAAGCTCACCTAACATGAAGCGGTTACCAAAATTTATATTACCCACTTCTAGTCAAGATCAATGTTGTAATTACAGTGGTATAAGAATAGATGATTGATGAAGACCAATCAAAATGGAATGCCATGGCTTCATGGTAAATCTGAGCACGAGTGTGAGTATTATAATATCCTTTGGTCACTTGTAATGTGCACTATCATCAGTGATCAGCTTAGAAATTAGAGATTAAGAATAGAAAACTATTGAGTATATTGCTACAAAGGATGATTTATGGCAAAGTAAGCGGATAGGCAGTGCAGGACCGGTCGTTGTGAGGGTTGAGAGTAGTTGTGTCTAGGTTTGGACTTCTGTGGGCTGAAAGAAGAATGGCAGAAAACCACCATATGAACTAGTCACTTTGTTGACCATGTGTCTTCTTGTTTGGACATTAGTAAGTGTAATACAATTACAAACATAATTACAGTGAACTATGTGCTCTCTGTTAACATTAAATGATGACTAATTGTTATTAGTTTACAAAACTTACAGGACCTAGTTGATAATTCGTGACACATACAAAAAGCAATGAAAATAATAAACATTTCAATATAAAAATAATATTTATAGTCTTAAAAATAAATTAGGGATTGTTATACAAGGCTAAAATTAGTCTTCCCACTCATCACTTTCATTGTCATCACCGTTTTGGAGCGTTTTTGACACCGATGAGTTTTCTCCGTCATTCATTCGATTAAATAATGATGTTAACAGCTTCTTGTTTATGTGATCTGTTTGAGTCGTTTCGCGTGGTGGAAGTTCCGGTATAGGTTCTTCAGGTCTCTCCGGTGCAATAACTTTGTTTTCAGGCGCCGGCATTGTACTTTAATAATATTAAAATATTTTAATTAGGTATGTGCAATTGTGCAATATGAAACAGTCTCATAATTTTTGTCATAATTTTGACAGTAGTTTCATTTTTTCAACTCGAAAGGCAAAAAAATATACCATACATCCTACAGTCTCGCATACTGTGATATATGAAGAATTTTATGTGGCGAAATGAAATGCTATTGATTTGAGATACTAATTAGCATGAAATATAGTCCAGTAAAATAACGATTATTTACTGAGCCTTTTTCAGTGAACTTTTAGTCGTCGTTGTGGCCTAGAAAATACGACGATGGGTGCATTCTTGCTTAGATGGGTGGACGAGCTCACAGCCCACCTGATGTTAAGTGGTTACTGGAGCCCTTAGACATCCACAACGCAAATGCGCCACCCACCTTGAGATACAAGTTCTAAAGTCTACACCTATTACCTTCCGTATTCCCTATTACCCATTACCTTACCTATTTCTGCCGGGAAACAGTAATGCGTTTCGACTTATAAGGTGGGGCAGCCGTCGCCGCGTTGTACTGTTAAAAGTGAGACCTTAGAACTCATATCTCAAAATAAGTGGCGGCATTTACGTTGTAGATGTCTATGGGCTCCAGTAACCACTTAATACCAGTGGGCCGTGAATTAGTCCACCCACCTAAGCAATAAAATAAAAAAAAGATCCTGAAAATCTCCATCTAGTGGCATTTCCCACATTTATGCACTTTCACAGATACTAAGCGCAGTCCGTCGCCAACTTCGATCAACAATAGTTATTATTGTTGATCGAAGGTCGCCAACAACCTTATGTCTTATGTTGTTTACTCTTTGACCCCAAAGGTAGGTATTGAGGGAGATAGAAAGGACAATAATCACTTCATGCAAAAGGAGCGTCATGCCATGCAAATGTGAAGACAATATTTAAATAAAAAAATCATACTATTTCCCTCCTCATTCCCATCATCCCAAACATTCTTTTATTTGCTATTAATTTTAAGGCATCCAGCGATTTCATGAATTTCAACGACAACATGTAAACTGTTTTCTAAGTACCTAATAGTTATAATAGTTTTAAGTCGTCGTGGCCTAAAGAATAAGACGTCCGGTGCATACGTGTTGAGCGATGCACCGGTGTTCTAATCTCAGGTTGGTACCAATTTTTCTAATGAAATATGTACCAAACAAATGTTCACGATTGACTTACACGGTGAAGGAATAACATCGTGTAATAAAAATCAAACCCACAAAACTATAGTTTGCGTAATTACTGGTGGTAGGACCTCTTGTGAGTCCGCACGGGTAGGTACCATCACCCTGCCTATTTCAACTGTGAAGTAGTAATGCGTTTCGGTTAGAGGGGTGGGGGCAGCCATTGTAACTATACTTGAGACCTTAGAACTTATATCTGGAGGTGGGTGGCGCATTTATTTTGTAGATGTCTATGGGCTCCAGCAACCACTTAACAGCAGCTGTGACCTCGTCCATCCATTTAAGCATTAGGTAAAATGGAATAATCGCTACCATAGATAATACACTTGTCGCTACGTTTATAGCAGGTATGAAATTAATGAGTTTTCCTTTCTGGCATCACCTAAAAATTGTCGGCCAGCGACATTTTTTCGTCGACTGGTAAATTTTACCGATAAACACCCATAAAGTTAGTAAATTATTTAAAATATTCCATAAAACTAAAATACTACTCAATTAGATATTAATTAACTTTGATTTTGTAATCGTGGTTTTGTAGTTCTATAATTTTCAACGTCGTTAGTCTTACATAACTGGGCATAACCTTTCAATCATCTGATTGAACTTGGATATTTATGTGTTTTAATATTTTCAGATTTGCAAAATGTTGGGACGCTTCGGACCGGGTGTCGGCACCCAAGTCGTGGCGGTGGTTTACCATCAGCCAAACAGGAATATGGCTACTTTGAAGGCCATTTCCATCCGTCTTAAATCTGTGAAAAATATCCAGAAAATCACACAGTCCATGAAGATGGTGTCAGCTGCTAAGTGAGTTCAGAATATTTCAAATATTATCATGCAACATGCAGCAAACATTCCAGTGTTAAGAAAAAAAAAAACATTTGTACAATCTACACTATAACTCAATTTGAAAATAGAATTCTAATTTGTCATGAAGACTTGCTGTCAAATAATTTCATAAAATCAAGCAGATATCTAAAAAGAATGGGTTTTTCAATAAAAAATCTTATCTAGATTATAATTGCAAATGACATTGGCATCTGTATTCTCCATTATAAGCCATCGGTTATCTGACCATTTTGAATTATCTAATAAAATTATTTGATCAAACTCATTAAAACAGATTTAAATATAATTAAAATGTAAATTTGCAAGTTTAGTGAAGTTTTCTTTTAAAGATACACCCGTGCTGAGCGTGACCTGAAAGCTGCTCGTCCCTATGGTGAAGGTGCAGTACAGTTCTATGAAAGGGCTGAGGTATGATCTGCTTAATAAATTTTGAGTGAATGCGTAATAGTTTGTGGAGAAAATAGTGGGAAAAGATCAAAAATTCACAAAATGTTAGTTATACATCCAAATGTATGTTATCACCTTTGGAGCATGTTCCTTCAGATACTATACACTTATTCTAATGAATAATCCAATCGTCAAAACATTGTCAAAATTGACCTCTAGTGTTACATACACTTGGTCTACAATATATTTTGACCATTCTAATCATTGACAGGTTACACCTCCCGAAGATGACCCCAAGCAATTGTTTGTTGCTATGACCTCTGACAGAGGTAAGCCTAAACTGACTTAATATTTAATAGAAATGTAAAGTTTATATATGACGAAAGGAGTGATTTGCAAAACATTATCCACAAAACGTATGTATATATGGCCAAAGAACAGGCTGTAGTTTCATATGTGGGCTGATAATTATTATGATGAACCAATATTAGAAAACTGGGTAAAATCATGGACAAAACTATAATTTAGTGAATGAATTGTGAAAATTTACAATTGCTGAAGTAATGCCCTTTTTTTTANTTTATATATGACGAAAGGAGTGATTTGCAAAACATTATCCACAAAACGTATGTATATATGGCCAAAGAACAGGCTGTAGTTTCATATGTGGGCTGATAATTATTATGATGAACCAATATTAGAAAACTGGGTAAAATCATGGACAAAACTATAATTTAGTGAATGAATTGTGAAAATTTACAATTGCTGAAGTAATGCCCTTTTTTTTATTGCTTAGATGTGTAGACGAGCCCACAGCCCACCTGGTTTTAAGTGGTTACTGGAATCCATAGACATCTACAACGTAAATGTGCCACACACCTTGAGATATAAGTTCAAAGGTCTCAGTATAGTTACAACAGCTGCCCCACCCTTCAAACCGAAACGCATTACTGCTTCATGACAGAAATAGGCGGGGCGGTGGTACCTACCCGTGCGGACTCACAAGAGGTCCTACCAACAGTAATTACGCAAATTATAATTTTGCAGGTTTGATTTTTATTACACGATGTTATTTCTTCACTGTGGAAGTCAATCATTGTATTTTCAGATTTATTTAGTCACTTTGAGATTGAACCTCACATTTAACAGTTTCCTGTGCTTGAATGTTTTTGTATCTCTGAAATGAACCCTTTATCATTTTATAATACCTTTATAATTTAAAAACTCAAATCTCTTGACCATGGCTATATGATACGTATTGAATATTCTCCAGGTTTGTGCGGAGCTGTACACACTGGTGTATCCAAAGTGATCCGCAACCGTCTCAGCGAACCTGGTGCTGAGAACATCAAGGTGATCTGTGTGGGAGATAAATCTCGCGGTATCCTGCAGAGATTGTACGGAAAGCACATCATTAGTGTTGCGAATGAGGTATACAAGCTTTGTAGTTAGTTCTCTTATTTAATTAAATTCAAATTTATGTGTGTAAATGAAATGGTTTTGGTTGGTGGATTTACTGGTGGTCGGACCTCTTGTGAGTCCGCGCGGGTAGGTACCACCACCCTGCCTATTTCTGCCGTGAAGCAGTAATGCGTTTCGGTTTTGTAGGGTGGGGCAGCCGTTGTAACCTTACTGAGACCGTAGAACTTATATCAAAGGCCACCCACTCTCAAGGTGCCACCCACTCTCAAGGTGGGTGGCTCATTTTCGTTGTAGATGTCCATGGGCTCCAGTAACCACTTAACACCAGGTGGGCTGTGAGCTCGTCCATCCATCTGAGCAATAAAAAAAGGGTTAATTGAAAGGTTTTACTTAAAACTGTTAGGTGCATTATGAATTTTTTTTTCGTTACTAACTAGTCATTCGGTTCTTATCTTAATAAGGAATTCACAATATCTTTATTTAATATAAAACTGCTCAAGTTTATGACTGCCTCTAGAGATTAGTGTCATTATTTTTTTAATTATGCTTTGGGTATGTTACAACATTTGATATAAAATGCATCTTCCCGCTATGCTATACTGCATCTACTGAGGCTATGTGAGAAAATAAATAATAATAATTCAGTAAACGAAAATAAATTTTGAATACAAGTTCATTCAACTTGTAAAAAGTGGCAAAGTACACAAATTCATATCACAATGCGTTTATGTAATAACCATATTATAAATCTATTGAATTAATTGGCAGATCGGACGTCTCCCACCTACTTTCTTGGACGCAAGTCAGTTGGCCACTGCCATCCTCACCTCAGGATACGAGTTCGGTTCCGGAAAGATCATTTACAACAAGTTCAAGTCTGTGGTCTCTTACGCCCAGTCCGACTTGCCCCTCTACACTAAGAAGTCTATTGAGGTATGCAATATAATATAATAAAGATTCTTTAGAAATTCAATACATGATGTATGAATATTGACTTTGTAATTAATAAAATTATCCATTTTGGTATTGAACAATTGGGGTACGTTTATGTGGAGGTTTTTAGCCGCTTACTTATAAAACTTTACAAACCTGCCAATACCTTACAGAAAAAGTTGAAACAAGCTAAATTACAAATGTGGATTGTCATTCACAGTATGGCAACATCTTGTACTCCTTTTGAGTGATATACCTACCTAATATTACATTATGTAAACACCAACAATTATTTGCAATTTATGAAAGAATAACACAGTGTTATAACAAAAGTGTTGTCTGTGATCACCATTCGGGTCATAGGGGAACAGCTGTTCAAGATAAGTGATATTTCCTCTCATGTCTCAAGAGAGATAACTTTTAAGTTGTGACAGTTATGGGCTCCAGTACACATAAAATATCTGATAAATTGACAGATCTCACAGCAGAAATTGATTTATGATGACAGCAGGTCATTGACCCCGCATAGAATTTAAGCATTGAATATGGTTGAACGAATGAGTAGAAGGCGACATTGTGATGTTTCAGAGCGCCAGCAAGCTGACGGCGTACGACTCTCTGGACAGCGACGTACTCCAATCCTACACGGAGTTCTCGCTGGCCTCGCTGTTGTTCTACGCGCTGAAGGAGGGCGCTTGCTCAGAGCAGTCGTCCCGCATGACCGCCATGGACAACGCCTCCAAGAACGCCGGCGAGATGATCGACAAGCTGACCCTCACGTTCAACAGGACCCGTCAAGCTGTCATCACCAGGGAGCTCATCGAGATCATCTCTGGTGCGGCCGCCTTGGACTAAACCGCCAAATGCGATTGACGCTCCGAACGATCTGCATTTCCTCATTTTTTGTAGATCATTTATTTTGTTAACCTTGCTGCTACTTTTATCATCAAAAAAAATATCAAAAAATTTTCGATACCCACGTTTTTGTTTTAAAAACTTTTATTGAATCATGTCACCGAAAAACTTTTGTCCATTTTTTTTATTGAAAATGTTTTTAAAACTTTTATCATCGAGACAAGTGACCATTAATTCTGACTGTTCATTTACTTCAACTGGTGCGGGTACCACCCAAAATAGCAAGGTACTAATTACTACCCTCATTTCCATATTTTTTCCGCTGCCTCCTCAAATTAGTTTGTACGATTTGCGATGCCGACACTGGACAGCTCCCATCCCGGCAACACTCACGCGAAACGAGACTGGCTTCAACATCTGTCGGGCTGCGCGCTGTGACCTGTGTGTGGACGCAGTGGTGGTTAGAAATAAAGTGTGTTGGTTGGAAAACTCGTGTTTTATTTATCAACGAATCACCTGTGTTACTTGTAGGGGAACTTCAAAAACTTTTTTTTTATTGCCCTTGCAGGCAGACGAGCATACGGCCCCCCTGATGGTGAGTGGTTACCGTCGCCCATGGACTTCAGCAATGCCTGGGGCAGTGCCAAGCCGCTGCCTACCTATAAATATATTGTTACCGAGGGCCAGCGCTAAAACTATAAAAACGATCCCTCGCCTTTACCCATTTTTGTGCGTGGCGTTCGTGTGTGCGGTTCTTGTGGAAACAAGTTTGGGACTTTTGTAATTTTAGCAGTTTTTGTTTATAGTAGATTATAATTTTGTTAAGAAGTTTGGTTAATTCAGTGAAATATAGTTAGGCCAGTTCTGTGTATTCCTTTTTTCTTTTTTAACTACCTCACTTCTGGTCTATAATATTATAAATTTGTTTTCATAGATCTTATGCCATTTATTCCACCAAGCTACAAAACGGGATCGACGGAGACAGCTGGTTGACGGAATCAGACGGAGTCACGATCCTCAGCAGTGAGGAACCGATCGAAGTGAGAGAGAAGCCATTTATAAATGTGGCGACAGTATCAAGTCTTGTATTGATACGAATCTTCACTCATGAATAGATCTCATTGCATAGCTGTTTCAACCGAATGTGCGTCCTCTCGATAGTCTGTGGTTGCTGCAGACCATAGACAACTAGAAAGCTAGATCTTACAGAATTATTAGTGTATTTCTATAAAAAAAAGTCAACAATGATATTACTCCATGTAATTTTTATTGGCTTAAATAGATCGAATATGTAATTAACTCACAATTAAATAACAGTCTTAACTATAAAATTAATATAAAACAAGACGGCGAGCGACAATTCCTAATAATGTTTGTAAAGACAGCATAAACACAACAAAAATATTAATAAATTATAAATGTCATCGGGACTATTGTTTTGGCTATAGTCATGTACTGACAATTCGACGTACTATATGCCTCGACCTACTTCATAGATATGCTCAATGGTTAGTTCATATTTATTTGGATATTCCGCTATGCACTGCGAGCACTGAAGGTGTGACTATATATATATATTTACTATACTGCGAAGCCGTTTCTTTATAGTTACCTATACAGTATTGAATTTTCTTTAACGCTTCCGATAGCGTAAAAGTTAACTCAGATTTGTATAGAGTTGGAACAGCGCCCCTAGCGGCAAACGTAGGTAAACGTTCCAACTGTATAATAATATGAATGTGAGCTAACGTTCACGCTATCGAGAACGTTAAAAAAAATTTCACTAACTAGCACTAAGCACACTGGTCTCTGTTTACTAAAGTGTTTAGAACGGAACGCAATACTGGTCTCATCGAAGTTTTTTTGCGTTATTTTCAAATTAACAGAAAAAAAATGTGTGCGTGTACTAGTGTACACACGTAAGAAGTGAAACTTATTTATGGCCTTATTTTTCGAAAAATGATCTACATGCAACTTTCTAGAAATTGGTTAAATAAAGTTAAATTAGATAAAGTTTAAACAAAAGGATTTTATTATCATAGACATGAATACAAAAAAGATGGCGCGTAACGGAAAAATGTGACGCGTAACCGAAAAATGTGACGGTAAATTTTTTTCCAACGCCGATAAAGAAGTTTCACTTCAAAAAAATGTGTGCGTGTACTAGTGTACACACGTAAGAAGTGAAACTTCTTTATGGCCTTATTTTTCGAAAAATGATCTACATGCAACTTTCTAGAAATTGGTTAAATAAAGTTAAATTAGATAAAGTTTAAACAAAAGGATTTTATTATCATAGACATGAATACAAAAAAGATGGCGCGTAACGGAAAAATGTGACGCGTAACCGAAAAATGTGACGGTAAATTTTTTTCCAACGCCGATAAGGAAGTTTCACTTCAAAAAATGTTCAAAAAATTAATATTTAAATTATATTTAAAATTTTAATATTCCAGTTACCTAACGTCAGTTGAATTAATCGCATAATAAAACCAGGTATACTTTTTAGTAAAATAATTTTTCTTTCAAGCAGTTTAATGTATTTATAAGAACTTAATAAACGAATTATCGAAATGAGGTTGTGCAAGGTAAAATTGATCACGCGTTCAAAGCACCCTTAGAAACCTTTCCTCAAAAACGCCTGCAATACATACAGTAGAAGATTGGCCATGATTGTGACGTCATATACGTACCTACGATACTATCAGTCCTTAACTTTACGAATTTCTTCTCAGTAAAAGCACTGGAAAGTGCTCACAGCGTATATCGAAACATAGCCTTGACTAAATATATATTTATCGGGTACATATGAGACGATGACAAAGCAAGTCTTGCATACAACAAGTTCACTAAAACCTATTTAATATCTAAATTTATTCGACACAGCATTACGGCGTGAATTTGCAAACTATATTATATCCTCCCTCCGCCAATATAAGACTAATACAGTAATCACCCCTATAACACGGTAGATTGGCTCCGCGTTGTAGTACTCTCGCATAAAGCGCTTATATGACCTCATATAACGCGTTATATACATATATAATACAATATAACCAATGTTTTTCCAATTCAAAAACCAGGGACACAAATTTAATAAATTAATTTAATTTGATAACAACACAATTGATACAAAGTGCAAACGTACGCGAAATTAATTATGAACTGTACAAATCAATATAAAATACCCGTGTTATACGAGAGACTGAAATCGCGTAATATGAAAATGCGTTATAAGAGTACCGTGTTATAAGGTCGATTACTGTAAATACAATTTACGAATTCAATATTTAAAAAAAAGTTTTTATATACTAGTTTATCAATAAAGTACACTAATTAAATATTACGATTCCCGATAAATTCTAAAGGGGACTAATTTACAAGAAGGCTACAGATTTTGCACTTTTTCATAATATCGCCAGTGCCCCAACGCGTTTACTGTAGTCTGATAGAAATGCTTTTAAATGAAAGGCGTAATCTAGTATAACTAAAATATATAAATCTATACTAATATATAAATCTACAGTGGTTTTTACGGATGTTCCGTTATAACTACTGAACCGTGCATCCGATTGACTTGAAACTTGGTATCCATGTAGAAAATACATGTACTTAATGGATGGGCTAATATTTATGAGTGTTGGACTCCCTAATAATAATGACAAAAAATAATAATGTTAATTTGTTATGCTAGTATAGATAGATATATAAATTATATGAAGCGGTTTTTGAACATTCGGTAACCAGGTACAAAGACCTCTACATATTTACAGTGTGTTACAGTTTTTGTGTGATTTTTAACTGTCTTTTTCTTAGGAACATGAATCTAGATTATAGGTTTTCAATCTATAATTTCAATTTTATTTTAAAAGTAGTCTCATAACATTATTTAACGTTTAAATATTATTTTAATAATAGTCTCATAATATTTGTGATACATTAGAATTAATTTAAAACGCTTTCAGGCGTGAAACGTTAGTGAATACAAAAGGCCTGCTTCATGCTAAGTATCTTTTCAATGTTGAGACATTCCAGTTCCAACACAACACAGTACAATACAATACAATACAACACAATACATCATAGTGAGCATGGTGTGGCACTATTCAGAACTCAATGAGAGATACAACTGAAACTACAAGAGTGCGTAGAAGATAGAAAGCAAATACCTAATTTATATTTCAATAATTGATTCGACTTCTAAAAAAACAATGATGAAATTTGTGTGGGAAGCCTTATGCTACAATTTTATTGAATTTCTGCTACATTAATATCTACAAGACTTGAGGGTGGGTACGGCAAAGCCTCTTATAAATTCTTTGTAAGAAAATGTTTTGTTCAAACAAAGGATTCAATTATATCATGATATATGTGTTTAAAATATGTATTTGCAAGATGATAAATTTCAGCTATTAACTTACATTGAAGTCTTAAGCTGTTTTCAGACTACGCTATACTATAGTGCCATATAGTATAGCAGCGTATACTTAGCCAATAATAGTAGCCATATAGTACAGTACAGTGTGAACGTGTCCATAACAATGTATGGTGCGCGATATTGTTGTGCTATGAGCTATATACTATATGCTATTATATTATAACGTAGTCTGAAAGCAGCTTTAGAAGGTAAATTCAACTGCACAACAATATGCCAACAGATATGTTAATACAGTGCGATTAAGTAGGTCTTTCCTCATATAACTACTACGATGTTATAATAGAATTTAATATTATCGATGGGATAAAATATTCATTTAGATGCTTGTTAAATTCTTAATATTCATCGTCAACATTGACTTCGCTCACATTGGCTAAGCTCGGAAAAAAGCCAGTAAAAACCAAAGTATTGCCAATGTCATTCTCAATGTTTTCTCTGTAAATACTTTTTTAACAGAATGCGGGTAGTTTCTATGGTCGAGCGGATGTCCCTCAGATGTCACTTATTTCATACCATGAGCTTTTTCAGTGTTTGAATATAGCTTCAAACTTTTAGATTATTCGAAAGGACTTACATACAGAATGATATTATTCAACCGGGAACCACACCGAACATTGTGTTCAACATGGCACTTTAATAATCATTTATATCATTGAATTTGGGATGAATCCTTCTTGATTAAAACATGTCCAAATAATATTAACATGATTTATTTACACATACTCCTCCGCCTGCAGACTCTAGTTTTTGTCCATTTTGCATATCGTACCTGGAAAAGAAATTGATCTTATTAATCTATTGAATGTAACTGTGAGAAAATAAATTGTAATTGAAGTCGTAAAGGTAACAACTGTACAAATAATACACTTTGTTCAGACCAGTGCCTTCAATTTTTTATAGCAATGTCAAAGGTGCTAGCCTTCTAAGGCGCTAAGCATCACAGTATAGTAATATATTGTATTTTGCTATCATTCAATCATTTACTACCCGCTCCATCCAATCAAGCAATCCATCTCTCAATTTAAATAATATAATTATAATATCAAGAAACTCCAGTGGCGGATTAAAGGTCCAGAGCGCCCTAGGCAATGACTTTATCGGCGCCCTTGTTTATGTTTGCCACCCATAAATGGCCATCACAATACTATAAATTTTAACTAGTTGTTTTTGCAATTACGATGACGTTGTATCATCAAACCCTAGACTTTAGTAGACCAGGACCCTTGTACTTACGCTAATGCGCGAATGAAATATGACGTTATAACTGTGAATAAATCAAGAGGGACGACGAGGAACGAACATCGAAATTCATGATTCCTCTCTGCTCTGGGAAATAGGCCAAATAGGAATCTATTATAGATTTAGATTATAGATCAGCATTTAGTTCTTAATCTTATCTTAATTTATTTAAAAACTCTGAGCTCACGCGACCCTTGTGAACTACACGCCCCTAGGCCTAGTTTGTCTTACGGATAATCCGCCTCGGAGAAACTCCCTGAATACTTAATATAATAACTTAAACTTAATACTCTCCACAAGCCTGCCACAAGCAGTAGGCAGCGGCTTGGCTCTCCCTGGCATTGCTGAAGTCCATGGGCGACGGTAACCACTCACCATTAGGTGAGCCGTATGCTTGTATGCGTACAAGGGCAATAAAAAAAAAATGTATCTCAAGCCGGTACACACTTCAATCGGTACCATTTTTTTTAAATCCACAAATAAAAAAAAATCATTTAATAAAATTGATAATTTTTGTACATCAATAAAAACAGACTTACATTCCATTTCACTCGTGTACGGCTGGTAATCTGTTAGGCGGTGTCCTCCACACCGCTGAAGAAGTACGTTTCAATCTAGAGCGGTCTATGTTTGGAAATATCTCTCTCAAATCAGGACTGTGTACTCGAACCGAGAACAACTTGTCAATGTGACTTTGAGACAGTTGTGTTTGCACGTATAACTGTAGTCTTCGGGCCTGCAATCAGTTCACAATTTAATCTGGCATTCCAGTAACCGTATGATTAAAATTTTAAATAAAATAAATTACAAGCAGGAAACGTTACAATAGTCATTCCATAGTTGTAAATATGAAGCATGCATTGTGGTGCATCAATAACTGCTTAGTATCACAGCCTATAGGCTGTCTGTGCGTATAAGCTAATATATAAGCCTACTTCTAAGACTCCAATTTTTTAATCAATTGATATAGACTAGTGGTCCCAATGTAGTCAAAATCGACTATCGACTATAATTAATTGAAATTATAAGTTTGTCCACTATTATGGTTCTATTGTCAATTATACTTCTATTCTATAGTCATAGATTCCACTAAGACTACACTTTAGACAAATAATATTAATTTATTTTTAATTTGACCACAGAGTTTAACAAAGGAGTATACATATAGCGTGTAAAGTTTTCTTTATTGCTTTATGAATTTTGGAAATTTATGGATAATTAAAAAAAAAATTAGTATTCTGCACTCCTTCTCTATATTCTCTAGAAGTTTGAGAAAATTCGTATTCCTCCGTCCGCGCAATGTTCGTAAAAAAAGCTACAAAGTTCCTGCTTCACGTATTAATATATAGATATTTTTATAAAGATGATCGCACCTTGCTAGTGCTCCATTCGGGCACGTGTCCATGATTGGATGGTTCATCTTCATCAGAGTTGAGATACTGGAAGCCGTCCTGCATGTAGACAGGTTCCATTGGGTATGTGTGGCTTGGTGTTCCTTGCATTTTTAGTGGGGTGTGCACTGTGGGATTGTAATGAAAATAATTAATTAACAGTAAAAAAGATGACAGTAGAATATTTAAAAGTATTCAATAAAAAATACTGTGGCTTAGACATGTTCCGAGAGTCCCGTTACATAAATTTTAACACATGACATATTATGAATAAAGTACAGACTTACTTTTTTCCTCCATTCTTTGTTTCATTTTCTTCTTCTCGATGTATTCTTTTTGTCGTTTCTCAATCTCTTTGGCCATCATCGCCGCTTCTTTTTCCATTCTGAAAATTATAGGTGTCTAATTATATTTTACAATCTGTATGCAGCGTCTCCTCAAGTACTTCGAACACATGGCCCGATGAAATCCTGACAACTTGAAACAACTAATAGTTGTAGGTCACGTGGAAGGAAATAGAAGACGAGGAAGATCACCAACCAGGTGAACGGACATTGCCAAGGAGGTCATAAACACCAGTCTCCCGGAAGCCATTAAGCAGGCCGAATGCAGGCAACGTTGAAGAAGGCTGGTGCCGAAACTAGACCAAGGCGGTCACGATCCTCAGTAATGAGGAAGCGACGAAGAAGAAGAATTATATTTATTGTATTTTCAGCTCATCAAAAGAGTGGTGTTGGCGTGATATAGCAAAGCTTGGGATATGCGTGGTGCTGCAGGAGGACATTGCGATGAAGTGAACTCCACTCGAGAGGATGGAGAGGATGGATTCACGCTATTCGCTATATTCAGCGGTAGGCAACGGCTTAGCTCTGCCCCTGGCATTGCTGAAGTCCATGGGCGACGGTAACCAATCACCATCAGGTGGGGCGTATGATCGTCTGCCTACAAGGGCAATAGAAAATAAAAAAATCTGAGTCTTTGCACGAGTTCGCACCGATAACGTGAAAAGTCTTGATCAGTTATGGCAATGTATTGAAAACAATGTCAATTGCCTCTTCATTAAGTATTATAATATAAATAATCCAGTCTCATACAAGAGAACTAGCTACACAAAGTAACACAATACTATGTATGATGTAGGAAAATAAAGGGTTATAAATATCGTGTCATCGCTGGATAGAACTGTAAGTTGACCAAGGAGTAAGTACACCGGTACACAGTGCAGGAGTACAACTCTCACTCTCACACTTAAAATTTATTTCTTTTTTAACTTCTCATGAAATCTTTTAACTCGGTGGTTTATAATTTAGTTTTGTTTTATTTTTCCGTACCTAATCGAGGTATTCTAAATGAATTACGCGCGGATCAGTTAATTAGCTCTTGGAGCTCAACCTTAGAGAACTTAATACTCGCCTTTACTTCGCATGAATTAGATGTGTATAAATCTATATAATATTTGAGTGAATTATGGATATTATGTATAGCGAAAGAATCTTTTAGGTAATTTTTTTACACCTTGAGTTACATTATTGGAGTTTTAGTAAGGATCCCAAATATTTTTTCAAATAAGCCTATGTCACTCAGGAATAGTGTAGCTTCCAAACAGTGAAATAATTTTTCAAATCGGTTCATTAGTTTCGGAGGCTAGTCAATACAAACAAACAAATATTTCCTCTTTATAATATTAGTATAGATAAGAACGTACGCCGCAGCCTCTTCGAGTTGTTTCTTCCTAGCGGCCTCGGCGCGTCTCTGCTCCTCCGCCAGCCGCTGCTGCCGGGCCTGCTCCTCTGCCTTACGTCGCTCTTCTGTTTCGGCTACTTTACGAGCCAACTCTTGTTTCTTCTGTTAAGAAAATATTAAAGATTAAAATTTTTTGTTGGAAAAAAAAATGTGTGCGTGTACTAGTGTACACACGTAAGAAGTGAAACATTAATGCTATCCCTACTCCGTTGGAGAAAGTGAAAGTACTCTTCGTCTGAACCAACCGTGGTAGGGGCAAGAAAAAGATGGCGCGTAACGGAAAAATGTGACGCGTAACCGAAAAATGTGACGGTAAATTTTTTTCCAACGCCGATAAGGAAGTTTCACTTCAATAATTGAACAGTAAAAGATTATTCGTTCTACACTAATAAATAAATAAATTAATATTTGCAGTTCGAATAATTTATTTATATAATATTATATAATATTTTAGATGAGTGGTCGAGCTCACAACCTACCTGGTGGTAAAGTGGTTACTGGAGCCCATAGAGATCTACAACGTAAATGCGCCACCCACCTTGAGATATAAGTTCTAAGGTCTCAGTGTATTTACAAGTGTGATCAATGTGATCGATGTCAAGACTAATAATTCAAATATGTGTTAGCAGCGGGCGTGCGGGCCACTGGATCGTCCCGCCCTCCCGCGCACGGTCCTTTACAGCTCTATGGCTGGCTCAATGCGATTCATTTTAGTGATGTGTTTGTTGTCGATGGTGAGACTTCGATCGGAAACGCGACCTACTGAGAAGATCCGGCGAGAAACTCAGTGGTCTGTGTCTATGGGTTAGACTATTCTGGGAATGTTACAAGCACCGACCCTCTCAACTTCCTTGACCCGCTCCCTGCGCTCCTTGTCAGCGAGCGCCTGCCTCTGCGCGCGCTCCCGGGCAGCGTCCTGTACGGCGCGCGCGCGGCTCAGCTCTGCGGCAGATCGTGCCGCGGCCGCAGCCGCCATCTTCTCCTCGCGCTTACTAATCATAAACACATATATTTGGATCATCGGTCGGGGAAACGGGTAAAATGAAATTGTGGGGGGTAAAAATGAAACTTTTGTGAGTAAAAATTATATATCGATGCTTAAAAGGAAAACAGTGACTAAGCGACAATAACTGCTTTATACATAAATAATAGGCAATACCCATATTCGATGCGCAATAAAATATATTTCTAGGTCTATTAAAATTATTTCAATCCTACAGCTATAGATTCGTTAAAATAGCAATTTTTTCAGGTATTTCAACTTAGTCTACTGTAAAGTTCACGCATTATCGCTTAGTTACGTTTGCCTTTCAAGCTTCGATTTATTTATGCCGAACCCTAGCGCGTAACAATATGAAAACACAATAAGACATTGTTCTAACCGCTTTTGCATCTCCCGCTTGGCTTCAAGCATGGCCTCTTTCTTTTTTCTGGCGTCTTCCTTCTCGCTCCTGATGGACTCCTCGGCGGCTTCCCGGGCTCTGCTGACGGCGCTGAGCTTGGACGTGGAGGCCGGCAGTAGTGGCTTCGCGCTGGTGGCGGTCACGGGCCGGGGTTTCGACGCCGAGCTGGACACCTGCAGACAGTGCGCGATATCTGACTGGTTCTATACAGTAGATTGGGAGGAATAGAGGCTAGAGTGAGAATAGGGACAAATCTGCGATGTCACAATACTTTTGTTGAGTTGTTTGATTTAACTTTGTTGAACTGAAAATTACTGGAAAATGCTTGTTCCGGCTAATCTCTGGAGCGGTTGGATCGATTTAATGAGACTTTCACTAATAGGTAGCTGATGTTATAAGGATTATCTTTTTTAGACTAGCTTCGCCCCGCGGCATCACCCGCAGTTATTGTTGTACCGCGCGCAACACCGCGGGACTCCCCTATCAATAATAAAATTTAATAATTAAATTTAGAATATTTTTCTTCTCTTCATATTTGAATATGCGAGTTGTGATTGGTGAACGAGACAACCAGGGTTGTGAAGGGTTGTACCTGTGGCAGTTTCCCGTTGAAGATCATAGAGTTCATCTTGCTCAAGGTGTCGGCTGACAGCGCGGCCTTCGCCTTCCGGTCGGGCGGGGTATGGTCTTCGGGCCGCTCCTCCTGTCGATAACAAGGACAACACATCCAATGTGAGTGAGTGATGTGAGTGCTATTTGATACATATGATAAAAGTCCATTACAAACTACTTGTGTCAATTCGTAGGATCTTGATTTTAGTAAAATAATAATATAGCTTTAAAACTTAAAAAAAAATAATGTCAAGCTAAATTGAGTTTTTTTTTATTGCCCTTGTAGGCGGACGAGCTATCGGCCCACCTGATGGTGAGTGGTTACCGTCGCCCTTGGACTTCAGCAATGACAGGGGCAGAGCCAAGCCGCTGCCTACCGTTTAGTACTCTATATATATAGGCTTTTACTACCCAGTGATGGTAAGTGTTACACCAAAATAATGAACACATACCGTTCAATCAATGGTTGTGACAAAATAATTTGAAATTTAGGACATTTTTGTAACAGACTTGTTATGTGTATCATGCATGCGAAGCAAATGAATTAGAATGATGTAAAAAGGGGAGAGGGCAGGCAGGTGACTCAGCTGAGCTCAGTTATGGGCTGTTTCCTTGTAACCCGTGGAGCTAACCAACACTAAGTACCTTTTTGGCCATGGCTCTGGTCTTGGTCCTGGTGACTCTGGAGGCCAGCTCTTCAAACTGCTGCACTTTCTCTTTCACAGCGGACCTGGAGAAGAAACAAAAGCGTTACTTTGTTTACAACTTCGTTACAAACCGCGCACGGCCCTGTCGATTCTTTGGGACTTTATAGCCCCATTACCATTGTCATTAGTGGTCCCCAGTAGTCGAAATTCGAATATAATTAATTGAAATTATAAGTTTGAACATTACCAGGGTTCTATTGACAAAGGAGATTGTCAATTACTATTATACTTGTATAATCACAGACCAAAAGTACACCATAGACAAATAATATTAAAGACAAACAATATTAATCTATTCTTAATTTGATCACAGACTTTAAACAAAAGTTTGACAATAAATGTCAAATGCACAGTAGTGTGTGTAATGTTTTCTATTGATTTAGTGTATTATTTATGCATAAAAAATATTAACATTTTGCACTCTATTCTCTATAAACATTGGAAATTTCATACTCCTTTATCCAGGCAATTGTCATAAAATTGGATACAGATTTTTTGCTTCACATCTCTATATATAAAAATGAATTGCTGTTCGTTAGTCATGCTTATACTCGAGAACGGCTGGACCGATTTGGGTAATTTTGGTCTTGAATTATTTGTGGAAGTCCAGAGAAGGTTTAAAAGGTAGATATATATATATGAAAATGCTCGGAATTAAATAAAAATAACAATTTTGTTTTTCCTTTGATGTGTCCCCCGTCGGCCGGATTCCTTTTGTTTGTTTTAAGTTTATTTTATACAAAAGTTTAGGTCTTTTATTAATTTGTTGAGGCACTAAGAAGTCTGCCGGGTCAGCTAGTATTAATATACAGATTATTATTTTAGAAGTGCAACCCCACCAATCGTTTATAAAAGATATTATTCGATAATTATTTCTGATTTGATCAGTTTTATAGTCCTTTATACTTCTACCTAATAATAAATACACATGCTCGAGCAAGTGTTGATTATAACAAGTCAATAAGGTATACGAACTTGGGTTGTGCGGCGGGCAGCTCTTGCCGGGGAGGCGTACTGGTCTCCGGGACGTCGCTGTCGTCCGTCAGTAATGAATTGTCCTCTGTCATATTTACTTTTGTGCCTGTTTTCAAAAATAGTCTATATTATAGTGACCGGCGTCGCTTCGATCGGCCATCGTTCTCGTCTCTCTTCGACGAGAAACAGCCCACTGAGTTTCTATTATATAGTAGATTAACCCTCAGAAACAGGCCATTGAGTTTCTCGCCGGATCTTCTCAGTGGGTCGCGTTTCCGATCCGGTGGTAGATTCTGCGAAACACGGCTCTTGCTAGGGGCAGTGTTAGCAACGTCGTCAGGTTTGAGCCCCGTGAGCTCACCTACTAGTTAAGGTTACGCTGAAATATCCTCTCAAGGCTATCAGTTTAGGTAGGAAAAAAAAGTCGCTTCGACATGACAACGGTAGCGGTAGGCAGCGGCTTCGCTCTGCCCCTGGCATTGCTGAAGTTCATGGGGGACGGTAACCACTCAGCATCAGGTGGGCTGTATACTCGCCTGCCTACAAGGGCAATAAAAAAACACTCACGACGAGTCATACCTTTGTCGAGAACAACTGTGGCGTCCAGTATTAAGTTTTGTTCTTTCCCCGGTGGCGCGGTTTGCGAAGCGCGTCTCTCCAGAACGACAGTTTCGTTCATCTGAACCTGGAAATATGTTAGAAATAAGTCGATGATCTGCGTTGATAATTTTTTTTTTTTACGAATAGCAGAGAAAACTACATATTGTTACGCCGGTAAGAGTAACGCCATCTATCGCCGAATGGTCGAACGAATATCGCGGATCTAGTAGCATCTAGAACGCTCGAGAAGTACAACGCCATCTATTGTCAGATAACGGAAACACACAATACTAGAGATATGTTGAATATTCTCGATAATTCTAAAGATGAGGTATCGACTATAAAGGCGTTGCAGGGATGGCACGCTGTCAGTGAGTAATCGCAACTACTCGAAGCGAAACAGCAAATGGATCACCTGAAAGCGAAGCGGAAGAAGCGAATTGAGAATTTTAAAAGTGTAGTGAAGTGTTTTAAGTGTTCTAAGTCATGAATACAGTTTTTAGTTTATACTTCGGTGGAATTTTATTTATCCCGAACCCCAACGCGGAACCTTTATGTCAGTTCATCGGGGTTTTACTAGAGAGAACTTACGAGATTTCAATTTGTCGATATAACGAGTATCGCAGTATTCAGGCCGGGGGTTCGATTGAGGCGTAGTATAAACCCAATTGATTGAAGATACGGAACACCATTGTGTAATACTCACGACATTCTTAGGTGTTACGGGAGCATGGTTATAAACTCCATTCGGCAGGACCATTGTCTTATCCATTTCCTTCAAATTAAACGTAGCGTTGGGTGCTAGGATCACTTTCGTTTCGTCTAATACGTCTTGTGACGTCGCTTCCTGTCCGCCATTTTGTGTTAGGCCGCCATCTTGATGAGTGTCGGCAGCGTCGGTGTCCTGCGTGTTGTTTATTTCGATGGTTTGTTCCGTGTTATTCGTTTTATTTGCAGTCACAATTTTAGATTTCTGTAGAATAGGCGACTGAATCTCATTTGGTTGCGACAAGCGTTCCTCTTTAGGCGAAATCAATTCCGGAGTTGATTCTTCAATTTTCGGAGTGTCTTTCTCACTGAAATTTTATTTCATTACAATTATCAAAAAGTTAGATCACTTATATAGTAATATAATAGATAACTTGTATAGGGCTCAAAATTGATTACCATTAGTAGTTTAGAAATAATGAAATACTTTTAGATCACTGGTGGGTCCTACCCTTGTGAGTCTGCACGGGTAGGTATCACCACCCTGTCTATTTTCGTTGTGAAGCAGTAATGCGCTTCGGCTTGAAGGGTGCGGCAGCCGTTGTAATTGTACTGAGACCTTCGAACTTATATGTCAAGGTGGGTGGCGGTATATAGTTGTAGATATCTATGAGCTCCAGTAATCACTTATCACCAGGTGTACTGTGAGCTCGGCCTCACATATATGCAATAAATAAATATAAATAAACGAAATATTGAACTCACGCAGCTTTTTGTAGTCTCCTCGTGCGCTTTGGCCGCGGCTTTTCAGCGGGCGAAGCTGTAACAGAATAAAGCTATAAACAAACTTGACCACGCGGTGGGTTGCAGTGGCACATTGAGGGACCTATGGGATGGGATAATGTTCGTGAATCTCAATACACACCTGGTAAAGTTTCTTGTGTTGGCTCGTTTTGTGGCGGCTCGGCAGCCACTAGCTCCGATGCCTTCTGTAACAACAGAAATACGTACAAAATAATATTGTATTTATATAGCAATATTACATTACACGAATTTGTGAACATTTTTTAATCAATGGTGATCTTCATATATTTGAAAGATTGTGTAGTTACTTGAAGATATGAGCAGTTTGGGGTTATACGCAGCCCAACTAACATCTGTCAGGCGGTAAACGATATTAATTTTTTTTGTTTTTCTAAGATACACTTTTTGGTGATGGAAAAGAATGAAAGAGAAAAATTTGCTGTGCCAACTCCACCTAGTGGGATAAAAGGGTGGAGAAAAAGAAAAGAAGATTTAGTTTTGCCGGCGACCGCGTATGCCTGTACGTTTATACCCTACGATTACATCGTACTGCTCTTCCGACAATTCTAATTTATTTCATTATAATCAATGTAATCTACATATTGCAGACTCCGATAATCACGAGTATGTAGTACTAGGAGAATTTATTGAAATCAATCAGGTCATATAATTTTTTTTATTTTTTTTTTATTGCTTAGGTGGATGGACGAGCTCACAGCCCACCTGGTGTTAAGTGGTTACTGGAGCCCATAGACATCTACAACGTAAATGCGCCACCCACCTTGAGATATAAGTTGTAAGGTCTCAGTATAGTTACAACGGCTGCCCCACCCTTCAAACCGAAACGCATTACTGCTTCACGGCAGAAATAGGCAGGGCGGTGGTACTTACCCGTGCGGACTCACAACAGGTCCTACCACCAGTAAATATAAATAAATATTATCATTGTTCATCACACATTATTACCACAGCAAGCTACGTTGTGAGTTGTTAAAAATTGTTTGCACAGTTTTAGTTATAGCTCATTTCCTATCCGTTGCAGTGTTAGTTAGTCTGCTTCAATTTTACTCAAATAAGCCTTAATATTTACCTTCTTAGCTCGAGTCCGTTTAGGTCTGCCCTCAACCGGTGCTTCTTCTGTTTCATTATTCCTCATTCGTCTTGAATTAGCTGTTACAAAACAGACAGTTTTAAAATTCAGTAACTTTCCGTTGCATTCAGGTTAGAAGATCTCACAATCTGAGGTAAGTACTGGTAGTAGGACTTGTGAGTCCGCGCGGGTGGGTACCATCGCTTTGCCTATTTCTGCCGTGAAGCAGTAATGCGTTTCGGTTTGAAGGGTGGGGCAGCCGTTGTAACTATACTGAGACTTTAGAACTTGTATCTCAAGGTGGGTGGCGCGTCTAAGTTGTAGATGTCTATGGGCTCCAGTAACCACTTAACACCAGGTGGGCTGTGAGCTCGTCCACCCATCTAAGCAATAAAAAAAAAAAGGTAAAGTGGTTGCGGAAGTGCAAGGACATCTCGAATTGAATGTCACCCTCGAGACACGAGTATTACAGTGTGGTTACCCTGGAATAATGCCAAGTATAACAAGTATGGAATTATTGACAGGACGTGAGCAGCCACTGGATCCAGACTGGAGGGCGGGGCGTTATACAGCACAGAGTAAAGCTTCTTGTGCAGCAATATTAACTGCCTATAGCAAAAAAAAATGCCAAATCTATGGCTCGGTAGGCAGCGGCTTGACTCTGCCCCTGGCATTGCTGATGTCCATGAGCGACGGTAACCACTTACCATCAGGGGGCCGTAAGCTCGTATGCCTGCACGGGCAATTAAAAAAGTCAAAAGGATGCATGCAACAAATGCTGGACTTGGCGACCACTGACTTATGAGCTCCAGTAACTGCTTAAAGCCAATAGGGCTGCTGTGGGTGATACATTCTCAGATACTCTTTTTTTTTTGGTCTTAACCCCGAGGGGAGGTCTGTGTGGCATGTCCCCTTTTTCCATTCAGATCCATCGTACATGATCTCTGCACTCACACCGTCCATCCCAGACTTTTAGTACGCGCCCTCCTCACTCAGAAGGGGCCCGATACATATTTAGCGATAGTACGTACAGTTGTTATGTGTCAGATCATTTTTCTCCAGTTCAACTGCCACTGCTTCTGATGCTTTCTGTAAAATAAACAGTTCAGAATGTATATTTTTTGTATCTTCTATGTCTACATATTCGTGATAAAAATTTATTGAATCAGGAATAGTACTTCTTTCTGTACGAGAGATTCTCAAAAGTTTTATCATCAACAATTGGGTAATTAAGAGGAAAAAGTGTCAGAAAGAATTAATAATTCATTTCCACATTTATCATACTAGTATAGAAATGCACAATCACTAAGGATGAAGAACAAAGGTTAGGTTGATGTCAGCGGAGCAATCACTGATGGGATAACACTAAGGAGATTACAATTATATATCAGTTTTTTTTAGATATCAATAAAACGGTAACACGACCAGTCTTGTGCACCAGTTGGCATGTGAGGCTGAATAAGTTCCCCTAAATTTTATACATTTACATTTTAATTTTTTTTACTCAAATGTTTAATTAACATTATATTCTATTTATTTTAAATTAATCATTTTATCTCAACTTCTGTTTTACCTTCTTAGTTCGAGTCCGTTTAGTTCTGGAATCAGCAGAACTATCTTCTGTTTCAATATTCCTTGTTGCTCTGGAACTGGCCCGTGTTGAACGGGCAGCTACAAAATTAAGCAAATTACTAGAGATTTGTTTTGAAAAACAAACTTTTTCTTCTCCAATTTGTAATATTTATTGATATTCTAAATGTAGATTATCATTGTAACTCGGAAATTTCATACAATATCCGCATTTTCTATTCGATCCAGTAAAAATACATGAATGAAAACAAGTTTTTACATGAACAACACCTTGAGTGTTTGAATAATTCAACCCTTAGTGGTAGTTGGTAGCTTCATTTTAAGATATTACCAATGTCCATGGATATCAGTAATTAGACATCACCAACTGAGTCTATATAAAAAAATTACATACACGGTACAACCGGTGGCGGCATCATGTCAGCCTGTTTCTTGTTTCGTGTGGTCCTATATTGCGTCCCTTCATCGGAACTACTCCCTTCATCACGTGACTTCTCTTTAGTAACAGCTTTACGAAGTTCTGTAAAATAATATTAATATCAGAAAGAGTGTGGAAAGTTTTACATTTTCCAAGTTCATACCGTGAGTTGTATGGCCATTATTCTCTAACCTCTTCCAAGAATGATCATAACGTTAATTGATTGTCAATGAACATTAAGTTAATCATTTTGTACTCGGCCATTCAAATCTTCAAATATACTGAGGCTTCAACCTCACGCCCCAGGGTTAGTAGCAATATTAGTTTTGTGCTCATCCAATGACCGGTTTCAGATGAAGACGTGTATTATTGGTTGAAATGGTTTATCATTGTTGCAAGAGTAAATGTACCACTCTTATGTACCGATTTAAGAGGATCAGGCACAATCAGCATAGTGACCCAATCTGAGTGCTCATTGTAAAGATTGATTAGTTAGAAGATAATAAATATGTATATCCTATGGTTCCACCTGCAGTCAAATTGTAAATAAGATATAAAGAATCAACTGAATCATCATGAATCAGTAAATATAGTTACACATTAGTATGGATAAGGCTTACAGTCTACGAATAAGAAAACTATCGTGGCTTACAGTATATTTTTCCTGAAGCTTGAAATCTATGTCAATTATTTCTTAAATAATAAAAAAATAATTTATGTTCAATTTAACTTCAAAGTAGATATTGTTATCAAATTGAAATTACTTGGTACTGGAGCAACTGGTGGAGGCATAGCAAAATCATTTTCTTGTTTTATTTCAATATCTGAGGGCAATGATTCAGTTTCCATAGACTCGGGAGGCAGCGATATCTTTTCTTGTTTAACTGAAATTGTGTATTATTTAAATTTAACACCTGAATTTGTAATAACTGTTTTAGAAGATAGTTTATAATATTTTATTAATGGTCTTGTTGAGGTCATATTTAGTGATGGTAAGGGATAACAAAGCCTGCACATACCACCATCCTGTCTGATTCTGCTACAAAACAGTAATGTTCCAGTTTGAAATATGTACAGCTGTTATATCTCAAGTTTTGAAAATTTTACCCCATGTCTCTATATATCTTGATATTAAAATAGAATATAAACAATTAAAAAAGGCTTGTTTTCAAAATGTATGTCTAATTTAAAAAAAACTACTTACTCTGAATGTTTGAAATTGGTTCATTTTCTTTGTCATCATCTTTTGGTTGATTCTGTTTATCATTTTTAGCTGAAGAATTCTCTCTACGCAGTTTTTGAGTTAAATTTACATTCACCTATAAAAAATGTAAGATGTAATTATAGCTTTCTGTGATACAAGCATGACATGTTTGTAAATAAAATAAAATGTATATCTCAATACTTTTGGGGTGGTTTACTTGTGGTCTAAGTGATATATCTATTAATCTCAAAGGTCTATAAGGAACAACATGTCGTAACTCAGTAAACTATTTAGTATTATGAGATCAGGATTAACGATAATTAGTGACAAATTTATATATTCTAAGAATGAGGTTGTCTATGTCAAAGGTGTTCACTCTGCAACATTATACAATGTCTCTAGACAACATTGGAAAATTCATTTTGATATAGTGAATCAAATGGTTTGTCATTTGGTATTATATTCTATTATTTCTAATAATATTGTCTACTGTCTACAGTATTCTGTATGCATGTAATCTTCATCAAGGTTTGTATTTTCTTGAACTTGTTTTTGTTTTAATTGTACTTTTTATTTTATTGATTAGATAGGTGAGCGATCATGATGCATTTAATGTTAAGTGGTTACTGGAGCTCATAGACCTGAACAAAGTAAATGCCTCCATTCACCACGAGACATAAGTTCTAAGTCTCAGTACCCAATTCTTCATACTGGAACATATTAGTACTTCGCAGGAGAAATAGGCAGGGTCATAGTAACTACGTACATGTGCAGGCATACGACCCATAACATCAATGTTTAATTTCTTTTAGATAAATATTGGATGATTTATCAACATTTCTACAGTTGCATTTATTGATATATAAAATTCCAATTGAGTACAATTTTGTTCAAAATTGAATTACCTGTTTGCTAATAATACTCTGAGCTTTTACAGAAGCATTTCTTTTCAATCTTTTATCCTGTTCTGGACTAAATAATCCATCAACTTCATTCTTATTTCGTTTTTTAGATCCTCTTTGGGTGTTATCAGAGTTACTTTCAATTGAACTTCTGCTGGTTGTGTCTGTGTTGGATTTGTCACTTGGCTTCTCATTGGTTTCTGATGGGTGTTTTACCAATTCATCTACAAAATATTTTTTATGGCAAGATGTAGCGTTTCATGAATGAAATTATTAGAATAGCATGTACACATCCTAATATGTAGGTATTTCATTCGGTAAAGTTTGACAAATCATATGTTCCAAGGATGTTAATCAAACTGATACAAAGCAGTCTACATATATGAAGCATTATTAGATATATTTGGTGTTTTGGTGTAATAAATGTTTTTATCAAAATATTTTTCACCTTATCTTCACAAGGAATGGCCCTATTTATAGAATTTCAAACAGTATAAAACTAACTGAATTTTACTTTATCTTTGAATAAGTGAGGAAAAGTTCAACAAATGTTTTGGTAGAATAAATAGTCTATCATACATTCTTCAAATCATGCTGTTGTTTTCAGGATTAAAAGATTACCTTCGTCTTCATTAATGATCTGAAGGATTGGCCCTTGGTTCTTATCTTTTGCGATTTTCTCCCGCGCCTTGGTGCGTCCTTTTTGAAACTCCTCTTCAAACTTATCTAACCGTTCAAACGCAACCTACAACACAATTTTTTAAATAATTTAAACACTATTCAACACTAATTAACATAATTCAGATGATTACAAGAATATGTTTCATTAAATTCGAATAATAAACAAATGGATACTGTTCAATCACACGCGACACTTCACTTTTCTATTTTACCTTCAGGTCATCGTTGAAATTTTTTCTAATTGTTTTCGAAATTTCACAGATTTTAGGCAGTAATTCGTTGAAAACTGACATAGTTTTTTGAGTTAAACAACAATTTAACAAACTTTTACTGTTAAATCGCCATAAAATAAATCGAACGAACGAAAACCGTTTGAAAATTGAAAAACTTCAATGTTGCCAGAATAACAAAATAAAAAACCTTTCGTTCAGAAAAGCTAACACGTAATTCAGTGTTTTGAATTTTAGGCGTGAGTTATCTTAATAAGAAATTTGTTTGGTATTTGTTTATTGATTGTTTAAAATTCAATAAAAAATGGGAAAAAGCTGTATACTGTTATTTTGCCTTATTTGTAGTACCTAAATAGTACTTACTATAGCGTTCGAAAAATGTATTAAGCTAGTGAGTTTAATAATTGCAACGAAAATATATAGTAAAGAGTAAAATGAATGAAGGTCTGCTCTGCTACCTCTGTCATCTTAATTTAGTAATGAGTAATAGTCTAAAAATTAAAACGGGTTTTTGAAAATTATGTTAAAGTTCAAATAAGAATTAATGTGAACATTTATGTACTTTATATTTTATTTTATTTATACTTATTGTACACAAAAAGAAAATACAATCAAAAACAGATTTAAAGAATGTCTAAATACTATGTACAAAGGCGAGCTTAACTCATTCATGAGTTTTCTTCCAGCAAACCATTATCAGAGAGAAAAAGAGCTATTAAAGCATGATTTTTAAACTAAGCATTAAAAAAAATAATCTAATATTGAATGAAAAATACATATAAATAAAAATACATAAAACAATAACTTGAAAACAATAACTCTTAAAAATACAGAAAACAATGACTAAAGCTGTGTATGGGAGTTTTTAAAAGAAGAGAAGTGGAATGTCGACTAACTTTGCCGTCAGGAATCAGATATTCAAAGCGTTCACGGAGATAGATATTTATAGTGTCAAGTCAGATTTTAATACTTAGCCAGTCAACATTAAATTATTAAATTTTATCTTTTCGGTTACTGGCCATAAGTTCCGGATTTGTGGCTCTGACGTCCATGTAAGACAGTAAGAGTTACCAGGTACTGGTTCATTAATACGTATTAGTCGAATCATAATGTCGTCGATCGCCGACTATAAGCAGGGTTACGACCGTCAGCAACGAAGGTGGAAACATGACAATGTATTCGTATGTTAAGCGCAGAAAAGATCTCAACTCGTTCCTCTCTGTTGAATTAAGTTTCCTGAGCCAAGAGTGCGTCATAGGCCATATTTAGCTTCCAAAGCGAAAAATTTCATTGAAGATGCTGGGGCTATAAATTGTTTGCACCAGGCGTATTAGAGTTCATATGGTAAAGAGGAAAGCCTCGACGTGGGATTTTTTTTGTACGTAATTACAAATATTTCCGATCCATTCATAATTTTATTTATTTTTGAAACAGGACAAACATTTTTTTCTTTGCCAACATCCTACATACACCCATTTGCCTTTTAAAAGCATTATCTTGTACAGGGGAGAAGTTGAAGAAGTGTCTACCTGTAATCAGTAAGTTATTGTTGCAAGACTCACCGAAGTAGGGCTAGTTTTGGAAGTGGAAATGATATGAATATTACGGTTTTACATAACAATAAAACCGATATTATGTGCCGAGAAGGAAAACATACAGCATTGTATTATGAAGAAGCAGTGTGTACTTAGCTTAAATTCCTTGTCTATGTCCAACCATAGACAGTCAATTTAGTTCCATCTGTAGCCGCTAGGTGCTGCCAGCAAGTATAAAGGAAGCGCAGCCATCTTTGATCTTCATAGTCTTCACCATAGATTATACACTTAATATGAAGACCAGGAAGAACTTCCTGCAATGCTGTATGTTTTCCTTCTCGGCACATAATATCGGTTTTATTGTTATGTAAAACCGTAATATTGATGTGCCTTTGGAAAACATACAGCATTGTATTATGAAGACGTGTTTGTTATCTGCTGGTGAAATTATTAAGCACAACGCTATGATGAAATAGGTAAGCTATAATAAAATTATGAAGCGCNACAACTTTATAAAATCAGTGTAGCAACTTTTAAAAATTATCATATCGTTTACTTGGCAAATTCGAAGGACGAACTTGTCTTAGATTTCACCCATCTAAATCATATCATATTTGCACATAACAATATACCTACTTACTTCCCATTAAAGTATAAATTCTACAAATAAATAATACTCAACAATATTTAAAATAAAATGAGCCAAGATCGTTTATCGATAAAACCTGATAACATTGAAATCTTTTGTACAGCACTAAAGCCGCCATGTTTTGTGGCCAGATGACGTCACAGTGGCACGAAATTTTGGTTGACGTTTCATTTCCATAGGTTTCCTACTTCATTGATTGAAAATTAAAATTTAAAATGAACAATTTGACAGTTCGGAATAATCCCTTGAAAAATCAACTGCTATCTTCTAACTTAACCTAAAAATTTTAAACAAAATACTGATCTGATACTTTTTTATTGTTTTAATCTCGTAAAATCTTTCTAAAAACATGAATTTTGCGGAGATGAACAAGATACGTCCAATGTTTTAAAGATTTACTAGCACGCATTTTTCGGTTGCTTACATTGTATAAAACGTAGATTGGTAATAGAATACTAGAATGGTTTTAAGCTTTAATTGAGTTCGGTACTTAGTTTTTAGATCATGACAATGTAGGCAATCGCCTACCTGATCGAAAACAGTCATCGTCAGTTATGACCATCAGCAATGCTAGAGTCATTTTTTTTATCTATGCTGGTAGCCTTGAGATATATTAGCGTTAATCTAGCGTATAGGTGAGCTCTCGGGGCTCAAACCGGAGGTGTTACTAGCACTAGCCCTAACAAGAGCAGTGCTTCGCAGAATCTATTACCGGATCGGAAACGCGACCCACTGAGAAGATCCGGGAAGAAACTCTGTGGGCTGTGTCTGTCGGTCAGTAGTAGTACTCGCCGAGCCCTTCGTCGCAAGCGACGGGTTCAACGAGGAGAGAGTCATATCAAAGGCGTTGCCTAATACTATCTATTATTAACAAAACTTAATTATATCATAGTTTTTAAATATAGATAGTTTTAATAGTACTCAATGAATTTTAATGTTTTTGTTTTATTTCGTTTCTCAATTATTTAGAGCTTTGTTTGTTTTTTTCTGGCAGAATAAGACAAGATGAACTAGTTTTGTAAAGGTTAGCTAAGGTAGCTGTTCACTAGGCACTTTGTTAATGAAGACGTTTCTGATAGTTACACTGGGCTGAAGAAACTCAACTTCCAGATGCATTAGGTACCTACATACTCTATGAATGTGACAGTCTATAAGAGCCACAAAGGATCTTTTGGGTGACGGATACACGGATTAAGATGTCTACATGAACGTATCTCTAAATCGTCTTGTAAAATTCTTGTGAGCTGTATTTGAAAATTGACTGACACAAGATAACCATCGAAAAATATCGATCTTTTAATCGATCTGATTCGAACTCTTGAGAATCGATTTACAAACGAAATCAATTGACAAACAAAGAAAATATAGACGACGATTAGATTGTCTTAGCCTGTAAAACATTATAAAATTTAGCCTATTGCGATAATAAAAATAATAATGTCGTATCTAGTAAATTCATCTTTAAATCAACGCGTCATGAGTTTGGCTCCGTTCCGGCAGACAGTTCGATACAAACGCGACATTCTGACGCCGTTCTCCATAAACTTATTACATTCGAGATAGAGTTTTAAATTGTTTGCGCGCTATTCCTATTTTCACTATAACCTATGATCTGTACATTATTTTAAACAAGCAATTATCATTAAAATAAGCCTGTGTCTAAGAAATGGATCTGAATTACTGGTAGCATATCCTATTTTGAAGTTATAGAATCAGTGCACAACATAGGGAAATGCCATCTTGAATCAATTGTTATGCGTTTTTTCGCGTTAAGTTTTAATTGTAGGTGTAAGTCTTTGTAGGACGATTAATGAAACAAATTTTCGCGTAATGATCTAAATATGACACCTCAAGTTTTAGAAACCTACATTTCATATATTATGTTAAATTAGGGGTTAAAGTATGAAATTGCCGATTTATACTGAAAATTTTAATAATTTTTTTTCATATTTATTTAATCAAAATATCTACTATTTTTATCTATACATTGCTGCCATCTAATAGGAAGGTCATTTATGCCTTTGCGATACACCTCTGGTGATCTAGATTCTACAAACTGTGTGAAAGCATTGTGTACTGCCTCCTGGGAAGAAAAATTGTTCAAATCACGAAAAAAATGGTAGTCCATTAGAGCAAGGTCTGGCGAATACGCAGGGTGACGAATGGTTTCTAATTGCAGCTTCTGTAGAGTTAAAACTGTTTCTCGTGCTGTATGAGGTCTCGGGTTATCATGGAGCAATAATGGTAATTCATGAATCGGGGCTGTTTCAGTGGAAGTTTTGCTATCGTTTTTCGGAGTTCGGCACAGTAGACATCTGCCATTAATACTTGACTGGTCTGGACCGGAGAAAGCTATAGCGAATAGCACCATGCTGAGACCACCAAACAGTTACCATTACCATTTTATTAGTAAGCTTTGCTTTAGGACACTGTTGCGGCGTTTGACCTGGGGTCAGTCATTGCATTTTTCGCTTACGGTTATCGTAAAGAATCCACTTTTCATCATATATCACAATTAGATGCAATATTCCTTCATTTCTGTATCGATTCAACACGCGTTTCTTTCTGCAGATCAGTCAAATCATGAGGCACCCATTTTTAATTTTTTTTATTTTATTCATTTGACACAAATGAGATGCAAATATTGTTGGTAAGGTAACGTTAAACCATGTAGCTAATTCTTCGGCAGTTTGGCTCGGATCGGCTACCACCATCTCTTTCAATTCATTGTTATTCACATGTGTGGGCGGTCTTCCACTTGGTTCGTTCTTCAAATCAAAATTTCTATCACGAAAGCGTTTAAACCAAAATCGCAAGGTACGTTCATTAGCAGTCCCCTCTCCAAAAGCAACATTGATATTGCGAGCTATTTCTGCAGCGTTAGTTACGCGTCGGATCTCG